TTATTATTATTATTCCTCCTCCTCACATTTCAGCCTCTCTGCATTTGTTTTGTGTCTATCCCCACCTGTCTTTTTAAAAAAAATAAAAATAGAATGATGCATGTTTGGGAATGGCTTTTTAAACACATTATAGCCTCTCTTTCCTTTCGAAGTATAGTGAGTAAAATGTATCTGTTTCACCCACTGAGATTTCCTTGACATCTTCCATCTCTGCTTACCAATGAAACTGGCAAAGTCAGGGGCAAACTCAAAATCATCCTTGGCTAAGCTGTTAACTGACTCTAGTGACAGGTCCCATACCCTCCAACATTTATTTGATGAAAATAGGGACATCCTATTAAACAACAACAGCAGCAATTGTATTATTGGTTGCCCCAACTACTCTGGGCTGCTTTCAACATACATAAAAACATAATAAAACATAAAACATTTTTTTAAAATCCCTATACAGGGCTGCCTTCAGATGTATCCTAAAGGTTGTATAGTTACTTTTTTTTTAAAGAATAATTTTTTATTAACTGACCAATCACATCAAATCAAACCAAATTACATAAATTCCAAATTACACAGCCGAATTTTAAATTTTTGTTGGGGGTACCCATATTTCAAGTTCCGAAGGGGATCCAATCAACTTCTTGTTTCTTTCTGCTGTTTTAATGTCCAGAAATCTAACCTTATGATGTTCACAGTACTATCCAGTCCTTTCTTATTTTTTTTCCACATCTCTTGTTGTTATTTTCATATATTTTTCCTTTCTCTTTGTGACCTCTGATAGTCTCCACAAGCTGGTTAGAACAGTTTGTAATCCTGCGTGGATATTATTTTTTTTTATCCAGTAACCATATCCAGACGTTTTCCATATAACATCACTTCCATACATCAAAACAGACTTAGCGTCATTAATCTTCACCAATCTGCCTCCTTTCTCAAAACCTCTAAGGAGATTCACCAGGAATGCAGTCTGAAAACAAGTCCGTTCTTCCTCCCGGCTATAAATCCTTTGGCAAGATGGCGACTCCAAATTAATTGCTGCACCATTCCAAAAGCTCTTATTGCTTCTCGATCTCCATAAAGCATACTTTTGGTTAAAGTTTATCTCCACACAGACCTTAATCATCCTGCTTGGGTCAGTTCAACCAACGATTCTAATGAGGAGGGGTTCTTGTAAATCACATAGAAGGAAAGTAAAAAAGGTCCGCCCCCCCCATTCAGTCCCGTTGTCAACATACCCAGCCTTTGGTGTATCTTCATCATAAAATATTCCTGTTTCTCCAACCCATCGTCTTCTTTCGCAGAGGTCACTTAAATTAGCAGACTTCACTCCCCTTCTTCACTTGAAATATGTGCATTTGCTTCTTTTGTAATTAATTATTCCAAATTGCTGCAGCTAGTGCGCGATCAGAGACAGCGTCCAGGAGAGCCGCGGTCCACACGGGGGCATTCTGCCTAGGGTCCTCACCCCCTTCTTTCAAATTAGGGGGTGATTTATGGGCACAGCAGGCAAGGGCAGTGTTCCCCATTTCCTTGGGGCAACAAGGGAGGCTGCCTACTCCCATAACAGCCTCTTAATTACCCTGTGTGGGTCGGAGAGATGGTATTGTCGGCCACCTTCCAATGCGCCCCTAGTGCCCCCCCCCCCCGCAAAAAGGCGGTTGTATAGTTACTTATCTCCTTGGCTTGGGGGTCACATAACTCCATATCCTCCAACATTTCTCTGATGAAAATAGGGACTGAGGAAAAGCAGGACATTCCAGGATCAAATCAGAAACCGGGACGTAAATCCAGGACTCTTAGCATAGGGACATGATCCAGCCCAAAGAGTTATTATCTTTCTCCCTGCAACACCACCAATTTGGACAGCTGCCACAAAAAATAAAATAAGGTAGCATTCAGTGCAGAGTAGACCTATTAAAATGAATGAACCTCTCTTAGTCACTGTGATTACCATAATTTCAATAGGTCTACTTAGTTAAACACCTGCCAGGGTACTAGGGTGGATGAAGTTATTTAAACCTCTCCTTCAAGCCCAGTGGCCTGGTGGGGATGTAAATTGCCCTCTCCTTGGTCATCAGTTAATTTATTTGATGAACCAGGAAAAGGGATAGCTCCCCTTTTCAACTCTTACATCTGTATGGATCCATACTGAGTTTTGGACCATCTCAGCATTGGCATGCAGCTCTCAAAGGGTTTGCTAAGCATGACTGCAACCTTGGGCCCAAAAGGTTCGTTACCCCAGCTCATAATCCTAAAAGCACCCAACATAAATAAACTTCGGAATTTTGAACAGTTTACATACCGGTTCACAGTGTACTGGTACTTGAATTTACAGTTTTCACAATCAGTTATTTGAGAAACGAACCCTTAAACTCAACCTGTTAATCCTTAACATGTCCAAGGACTGAACTGGGGTCAAGTTTGACAATGATACCAAATATTTCACGTTGGTTAATGCAAAAAGGGGTTGTGAAAAGCTCCAAAAGGATTTCTACCAAACCATAGAACCAGCTCCTAGGGGCCGAGGTCCCATTCACCCCACGAATAAAATATTTGAGGGGCCAGGAACCCCCAAAGGTGATGGGCAATACGATTAAAATGGAGTGTGTCTGTGTACTACTTCTTGTGGTTGATTATATGGGGAGGTGCATACCTGGCCTTCACTAATATTTTATTCAAGTTGGCATTCCTGCTCCAAACTGAGCGAATGGGCATTAAAATGGCCAATGAAGTTCAAAGTAATCAAGAGTAGAGTGATTTGGGGGTGATAAATAAAAATAAAATCACGTATAACCTCAGGAATCTGAATTGGTGGTAAGTGACCAGGGATGAGACTTTGCAGCCATAGCAGATAGTTTGGTGAAGATGTCGACCCAGCTTGTAGCAGCTGTGAGAAAAGGCAAATGATGGAGATGTGTAATGTTATGCTCGGAATGGAGAAAGCGGACAGAGAAATCATAGAATTGTAGAATTAGAAGGGAGCCTGGAGATCATCTAGTCCAACCCCCTACAAGGCAGGAATATGCAGCTGTCCCGTACAGGGATCGAACCTGCAACCTTGGCGTTCTCAGCACCATGCTCTAACCACTGAGCAGTCTGTGTTCCTCTCATAAGACCAGAACCCCAAAGCCATCCAATGCAACTGAATGTTGGAAGATTCAGGACAGAATTCAGGGGAACAGTGGCTGTTGCCATGAAAAGTTAACAGCACTCTGATACCATTAGCGCTGATTGTGCAAAGGAATATCTGAGGAACTCCAAAGGAGAATAGAAAGTAACTTATATGCATCCATTTCTGTTTCTCCAGGGTGGCGCTTTCTACTTCCTGTTGCAGGTGTCCCTTTAAAATGGCAACCTAATAAGCCGCATATCATAAAAGGTAAAGGTACCCCTGCCCGTACGGGCCAGTCTTACCAGACTCTAGGGTTGTGCGCTCATCTCACTCTATAGGCCGGGAGCCTGCGCTGTCCGCAGACACTTCCGGGTCATGTGGCCAGCGTGACAAGCTGCATCTGGCGAGCCAGCGCAGCACACGGAACGCCGTTTACCTTCCCGCCAGAGCGGTCCCTATTTATCTACTTGCACCCGGGGGTGCTTTCGAACTGCTAGGTTGGCAGGCGCTGGGACCGAACGACGGGAGCGCACCCCACCGCGGGGATTCGAACCGCCGACCATGCGCATAGGCGCCGACTCCATGGGGCTTGAGGGGGCTCGAGCCCCCTCAAAAAAATTTTTTGGGGGGGCTCAGCCCCCCCAATAATCTCGGGCGCCGGGGGCGGGGGCTCCTGCCTCGCTGCTTCGCAGCACCACCGCCACTGCCAAGGCACTGCCGGGGGGAATTTCCTTCCTCCTGGCGGTTTCAGCCCCCGCGAGAACAGGGGAATCCCGACTGGCCACACCTCCCAGCCAGCCAATCGGCTGGCTGGGGGGCGTGGCTTGCCCTATTTAGGGCCGGAGCCACTTTATTTGCATATTCATGAGCTTATTTATTATTCATGAGCTTTCCCGGGCCCCCCCAATATTTTTTATAAGTCCGCGTCCCTGACCATGCGATCGGCAAGTCCTAGGCACTGAGGTTTTACCCACAGCACCACCCGCGTCCCTCTGCATATCGTAAGTTATGCTGTAAAGTAGCTTGGAAATAAATTACTGAACAAAATCTCCATGCAGGTGTCTCTGGGTTGGGGTGTAGAACCTAACCGTAAGAATTATAGGACAACCCATCACTATGTCACCTATGGCCTGTGAACCTCTTGTGCAATCTGTTATTGGATGCACACACATGTATGTTATCGCCAATCCATTTTTTATTTCTGCTTGACAGACTGTCCAGCTACCTTCACTTTCCACATTCCAGCTGCTCCCATGCAGATGTGAATGTTGCCATAACACATAGCTTGGGCTTGCCTCATTCACTTCCACGTGAGCATGCATGAACTCCCATTACTATTCTCCCTGGAAGCATCTGATCCCCATGGAGGTTGGGATATCAGAAGAAGAAGAGTTTGGACTTGATATCCCGCCTTTCACTCCCCTTAAGGAGTCTCCAAGTGGCTAACAATCTCCTTTCCCTTCCTCCCCCACAACAAACACTCTGTAAGGTGAGTGAGGCTGAGAGACTTCAGAGAAGTGTGACTAGTCCAAGGTCACCCAGCAGCTGTATGTGGAAGAGCGGGGAAGCGAACCCAGTTCACCAGATTACGGGTCCACCACTCTTAACCACTACACCACACCATTGTCAATTGCCTTAAACAGAATTTCCTCTTAATTTTGGAAGATGATTGAGAAGTTCCTATCGCAGGTGCTGCCAGTGTGGTGCTAACAGAGGCCTTTCCTGAAACCCACAGAGTCCCTTCCCTGCACTTAAAGCCTACACAACAGAAAACAGTGTAGGTGTATGTATGTTTTGTTTTATTTGTTTTTTATCTTATATTTTGGAAATGTACAAGTTTTGTTTCCTTCAAATTGGGGGGGGGGCCCTCCAAGACAGTGGGGCCCTAAGCTATAACTTGTTTAGCTTATACGTAAATCCGGCATTTTGGACCGCGGAGTACTTCTGCAATAAAGTGTTAGAATACTCCCTAAATGAGATTATTTCCCTCTTAAAGACAGCAAATACAGTTTTTAAGTTCCTTCTGACAGGGCAAGGTTATTGGTGGTGTGTGTGTGTGTGTGTGTTTAGTTTATAAAAAATATCCCTCTCCACCCTTTGAGATCTCACAGCCAGTGTGGTCACTGCCAAGGGCTCTGGCACAGCGTGTTCTCCCTAACAGAGAGCACGTGTTGCGGTTGGGGATACAAGCCGCCCTGTTGTTGCTGGGCAGATTTGGATAACCCAAGCCATAATTGGTTAAATTGGGTTGCTGGGGAGTTTTGATTGTGGCCAATTCGGAGGAGGGGTTAGAGTCTTTAAATACAGGACGCCCAACGCTGGGCGCTGGGCGTCCTCTTGGCTCACCCTCGAGACTCTGCGACTGACTTTCTCTTCTCCTCTGACTTTGCTGTTTTCTGCTCTCTTGCTAACATGGAAGCAACATGCCTAGTTGTCCTGCTCAGGTTATGCGTTATATTAGCCTTCCCTGTTTACTTGCTGTGGTATCTGGGTATCTGGGAATCCCTTTGCAAGAAGTTATTCCCCTACTGCATGTCTGTGGCGTCCAGCTGTTATAACAAGTGCATGTCTGACAAGAAAAGGGAAATGTTCAGCAACCTGAAGGACTTTGCCAGTCCCACCGGGGCCCTCACACTGTTGGAGATTGGTGCGGGAACTGGCTCCAACTTTCAGTTCTACCCCGCGGGATGCAAAATCATATGCACTGATCCGAACCCCAACTTCCAGAAGTTTTACAACAAGAGCCTGGCTGAAAATCCACATGTGCAGGTGGAACGCTGTTTGGTGGCTCCGGCTGAGGACCTGCACCAGGTACCAGCTGCATCGGTGGATGTGGTGGTTTCAACGCTGGTGCTATGCTCTGTGAAGAGCCCAGAGCAAGTTATGAAAGAAGTCCTACGGGTGCTGAGACCGGTAAGTAGCTCACGCCGTGGGAAGAACAAGGACAATTCAGTACCTGCAGGGGCATGCTGTATTCTCGGGTGTTAGTCAATTCTATATCTGTTGGGCAATCACAAATGCAGGTAGATGGATTCGGATCCCTTGTTGTTTCTGCGTAAACCAATTTGCTTCTGAGCTATTTACATTCTCATAAGTTGCAAACGTTGGAATCACTCACTTGCTTTTCTCTCTTAACTACAGTTAGGAAGGAACAATCCCACACTCTGTGTTACTGAGAGTACCTTAGACAGATCTAAACATGCCTCTTCCTATTTTGTCCGTTGTTGTTGCGCACTTGTGAAATGCCAAAGAAAATTTTTAACATGCTTGTCTCTGATGTTGAAACTGGTAGGTGGTTGGGCAGGAACGCCCAGTATACCTGAAGCAGCCTCTCCACTCCCGTCGTTCAGCCCAGACACTTAGATCCAGCTCCGAGGGCCTTCTGGCGGTTCCCTCACTGTGAGCAGACAGAGGGCCTTCTCGGTAGTGGCGACCACCCTGTGGAACGCCCTGCCATCAGATGTCAAGGAAATAAACTTTTAGAAGACATCTCAAGGCAGCCCTGTTTAGGGACGTTTTTAATGTTTGATCTTTTATCGTGTTTTTAATATTCTGTTGGGAGCCATCCAGAGTGGCTGGGGAAACCTGTATGTATGAATGAATAAATAAATTATTATTATTATTATTCCTCATTCTCACATTTCAGCCTCTCTGCATTTGTTTTGTGTCTATCCCCACCTGCCTTTAAAAAAAATAAAAAATAGAATGATGCATGTTTGGGAATGACTTTTTAAACACATTATAGCCTCTCTTTCCTTTTGAAGCATAGTGAGTAAAATGTATCTGTTTCACCCACTGAGATTTCCTTGACATCTTCCATCTCTGCTTACCAATGAAACTGCCAAAGTCGGGGGCAAACTCAAAATCACCCTTGGCTAAGCTGTTAACTGACTCTAGTGACAGATCCCATACCCTCCAACGTTTATTTGATGAAAATAGGGACATCCTATTAAGCAACAACAGCAGCAATTGTATTATTGGTTGTGTTAAATAGTGGGTAGACATGGCAGACGACACAGCGATTTCTCCAAAGCAGCTCTTTATTTTGTAAGCTGGAACAGAAAACTGAACAGCAAACAGCTCAGCCGGCCTGCTTTTATAGGCAGCCAGCTGTTAACATCGTAGCAACAACAACCCAGGGTTTCCCGCCTAAAATAACTGACGTGGACCTGAGTGAAAACTACCTACAGTATCCCCCTGCTGGCCCAGGGTGAGAACTTCAGTACATAACAGGTTGCCCCAACCACTCTGGGTTGCTTTCAACATACATAAAAACATAATAAAACATTTTTTTAAAATCCCTATACAGGGCTGCCTTCAGATGTCTTCTAAAGGTTGTATAGTTACTTATCTCCTTGGCTTGGGGGTCACATAACTCCACATCCTCCAACCTTTCTCTGATGAAAATAGGGACTGAGGAAAAGCAGGACATTCTAGGATCAAATCAGAAACCGGGACGTAAATCCAGGACTCTTAGCATAGGGACATTGTAAAGGATATTGGGGTTGCTTGTGCGTAAAGGGTGCTACTGTTCTAGGCAACGTAGCCTGGCAAAACCTTTCCCTGGCTGGACAGCCCTTTCTCCATGGCTGTGTCAGTCGCTGGCAGAATCCGTCAGTGGGCGTTTCCTGAACTTCTTCCAACATAGAAACTCTTTGACACCAAGTCTCCTCCTCGCTTCCCTGCGTGGAAGTCTCCTGCGCAGAGTGGGCGTGCCCAACGGACGTCCTGTGCTCTCCCTGCTGGTCTCTGTGGAAGAGTCTTGGAGCCCTCTCTCCGCAGTTTCCCCTTGCTTCCTGGTGTCACTCCTATTTCCTTCCTCAAAGGAAGTGTTCTCTCTCCCCCTGCTGGTCCCTTCTCCTGCATCGTTGGGGAGCCTTACCTCCACTCTCGGCTCTGATGGCAGTTTCCTGACAGACATGATCCAGCCCAAACAGTTATTATCTTTCTCCCTGCAACACCACCAATTTGGACAGCTGCCACAAAAAATAAAATAAGGTAGCATTAAGTGCAGAGTAGACCTATTAAAATGAATGAACCTCTCTTAGTCACCGTGATTACCGTAATTTCAATAGGTCTACTTAGTTAAACACCTGCCAGGGTACTAGGGTGGATGAAGTTATTTAAACCTCTCCTTCAAGCCCAGTGGCCTGGTGGGGATGTAAATTGCCCTCTCCTCGGTCATCACTTAATTTATTTGATGAACCAGGAAAAGGGATAGCTCCTCTTTTCAACTCTTACATCTGTATGGATCCATACTGAGTTTTGGACCATCTCAGCATTGGCATGCAGCTCTCAAAGGGTTTGCTAAGCATGACTGCAACCTGTGGCCAAAAAGGTTAGTTATCCCAGTTCACAATCCTAAAAGCACCCAACATAAATAAACTTCAGAATTTTGAACAGTGTACTGGTACTTGAATTTACAGTTTTCACAATCAGTTATTTGAGAAACGAACCCTTAAACTCAACCTGTTAATCCTTAACATGTCCAAGGACTGAACTGGGGTCAAGTTTGACAATGATACCAAATTTTTCACGTTGGTTAATGCAAAAAGCGGTTGTGAAAAGCTCCAAAAGGATTTCTCCAAACCATAGAACCAGCTCCTAGGGGCCGAGGTCCCATTGACCCCACGAATAAAATATTTGAGGGGGCCAGGAACCCCCATAGGTGATGGGCAATACAATTACAATGGAGTGTGTCTGTGTACTACTTCTTGTGGTTGATTATATGGGGAGGGGCATACCTGGCCTTCCCCAATATTTTATTCAAGTTGGCACTCCTGCTCCAAACTGAGCGAATGGGCATTAAAATGGCCAATGAAGTTCAAAGTAATCAAGTGTAGAGTGATTTGGGGGTGATAAATAAAAATAAAATCACGTATAACCTCAGGAATCCTAAATTGGTGGTAAGTGACCAGGGATGAGACTTTGCAGCCATAGCAGATAGTTTGGTGAAGATGTTGACCCAGCTTGTAGCAGCTGTGAGAAAAGGCAAATGATGGAGATGTGCAATGTTATGCTCGGAATGGAGAAAGCGGAGAGAGAATTAGAAGGGAGCCTTAGAAGGGAGCCTGAGGATCATCTAGTCCAACCCCCTACAAGGCAGGAATATGCAACTGTCCCGTACAGGGATCGAACCTGCAACCTTGGCGTTCTCAGCACCATGTTCTAACCAACTGAGCAGTCTGTGTTCCTCTCATAAGACCAGAACCCCAAAGCCATCCAATGCAACTGAATGTGGGAAGATTCAGGACAGAATTCAGGGGAACATTGGCTATTGCCATGAAAAGTTAACAGCACTCTGATACCATTAGCGCTGATTGTGCAAAGGAATATCTGAGGAACTCCAAAGGAGAATAGAAAGTAACTTATATGCATTCATTTCTGTTTCTCCAGGGTGGCGCTTACTACTTCCTAGAACACGTTGCAGGTGCTCCTTCCAGCTGGACTCTTTTCTGGCAGCAGATCTGTGATCCAACTTGGATATGTCTGTTTGACGGGTGCCACTTGGCCAGAGAAAACTGGAACGTCCTGGAAAAAGCTGGCTTCTCAGAGCTGAAGCTACGGCACATAGATGCCCCTATAAAATGGCCCCCTATTAGGCCGCATATCATAGGTTATGCTGTAAAGTAGATTGGAAATAAATTTCTGAACAAGATCTCCATGCAGGGTTGGGGTGTAGAACCTAATCATAAGAATTATAGCTCAGCCCATCACTATGTCACCTATGGCCTGTGAATCTCTTGTGCAATCTGTAATTGGATGCACACACATGTATGTTATTGTCAATCCATTTTTTATTTCCACTTGACAGACTGTCCAGCTACCTTCACTTTTCACAATCCAGCTGTTCCCATGCAGATGTGAACGTTGCGATAACACATAACTTGGGCTTGCCTCATTCACTTCCACGTGAGCATGCATGAACTCCCATTACTATTCTCCCTGGAAGCATATGATCCCCATGGAGGTTGGGATATCAGCCATTGTTGATTACCTTAAACAGAATTTCTTTTTAATTTGGAAGATGATTGAGAGGTTCCTATTGCGGGTGCTGCCAGTGTGGTGCTTGCAGGCACACACGTGGTAACAGAGGCCTTTCCTGAAACCCACGGAGTCCCTTCCCTGCACTTAAAGCAACATTTTACTGAAGGCTAACAACAGGAAGATTTAAAGGAACTATTAGAAACTCAAGACAGCAGAGATATGAGATGATCAGAGCCCCCCCCCCCGAACTTGAAGCATGGGAAGTCCCAATAAAAATTTAAGATTTGGCAGAATATTTGGACTATATGATATTTAATTGTATAATTTGGAATATTTAATGTGATTTGATTGGATTGTTAAAATGGAAAATTTAATTTAAAATTTTTTTTAAAAAAAGAGCAACATTTTACTGCAGCCGGTATAACAGGTTGTGGAGTGTGCCCACAACAGCTTATCAGGTTTGCTAATGTGCCCTCAGGCTCAGTGGCAGAGCGTGGCGTGCTAGCGCCTGTGGCTACGTGGAGGGGGTGGGTGGGATGAAGGGAAACAGGTGAGGTATATATGCCTCATGGCATCCGTGTCACCCAGGAGATCGCAGCTGCAGAGATAAGAAGAGTCGTTCCGTTGTCTGAAGAGGTCACTTCCTGGTTCACATGGAGAAGTCGTCTTCAACAGAGTCCACTGATGAAAGCACACAGCTGTATTGAAGCAGCACTGGGTGTTCAAATTTTGTACCCAGGGAAACTACCCCGATCCACGCGACGCCACAGCTCAGCCTCAGAAAGTTTGGTGACCCCTGTCCTGCAGCACTTTGGTTTATTTTTGTATTCTGCTTCCTCTACCTGCTTCCCCTTGCCTTTTATTTCTAATAAAGCTTCACAGTTTGACTGCTTAAGTGTGTGCAGTAACCAACCTCAGGGTTCTGGAATCCCCATGTGCATGGAATTCATGCTAATTTGAATGTTGAGGATCAGCGTCGTAAGAAACCAGCACATTCTTCTTTGATCTCGGAAAGACAGGGAGCGTGGCCTGCTTTTACACTGTGAGCAACGTGTAAGCGAATGGTCTGGGAAATGGGGGGTGCATTGGTCCCAATGTTCCAGGGCTTTAAGATGTGGGTGGGTGGGTGGAGCTGCTTTGATCTTGGAGTGGGATAAGGCAGCTGGAAGTTAGCCCTTTCCCCATTACATTGTGTGCAGGTGAGGAGTGCAGGGTGCAGTTGCTAGGAGTCTTTTTTTTCCAAATAAAAAAATGAATTGCTTTGGTGCAGCCCCAGTCGCCCCCACTTCCACCTCTTGGGTTCTGGGACTGTGGGTGATGCCTAAAAATGAGGCTGGTGGTAAAAGGTAGAAAGGTAAAGGACCCCCAGACGGTTAAGTCCAGTCAAAGGCGACTATGGGGTTGTGGCGCTCATCTCGCTTTCAGGCTGAGGATGCCGGCGTTTGTCCACAGACAGCTTTCCAGGTCATGTGGCCAGCATGGCTAAACTGCTTCTGGTGCAACGGACACCGTGACGGAAACCAGAGCGCACGGAAACGCCATTTACCTTCCCGCCGCAGCAGTATCTATTTATCTACTTGTGTTGGTGTGCTTTCAAACTGCTAAGTTGGCAGGAGCTGGGAGACGGCAATGGGAGCTCACCACCATTGAGCGGATTGAAACTGCCGACCTTCCGATCGGCAAGCCCAAGAGGCTCGGTGGTTTAGACCACAGCGCCACCTGCTCCCCTTATTGGGTGGCGGTGGCAGCAACTGGTGGAGACTTAAGACTCAACTGGCAGCACTGCAGGGCTGTTGTGCAGCAGCCAGGAAAGTAAGGAGGCATGAGATGCTCTCCCTTCTCCACACAGCCTTCTCTAACTGAACAAACTGGCAGATTTGCTGTTAAGGTTCCATTCCTCTTAAGAGTACAGTAACATATCTGCAGAACAGGAGGGTTGAGGAGCCATGGAAATGAGGGTGGTGCAAGGGGAGTTTGAAAAATTAAAGGAGGAAAGGGGGTGAAAGTGAAAAGGAGGGAACAGGAGGCATGGGACTGGGGATGAAGGTTCAAGCAGTTACTATGAGCGTGGTCTGAGCATAAGTGGGGTTGCAGAAAAGGAGGCAGAAAAGAAGCTATGGACAGGAGGGTGAAGATGAAAACAGGGGCAAAATGGGGCTGCAGTACAGGAGGGATTATGTCTCTATAGAACAGACAATCCAGCAATTAAAGTGCTTTTTGAAGGGGTGTGTGTCGGGCAGTGAGTTGGCGAACAGTGGGGTTAAACTGAACTTTCCTTGAAAGGTCCTTTCATCCTGATGCTACATTTGCCAAACTAGCTGGCTAATGGCAGCCCTTAGCCCCAAATGAGCCGCCTTTGTAACAGCCGTCCTTTGCACAAAAGAACTCTCCGTAAAACATGAGCAGAGAAGGTAGGTCTTTAGATCCCTGCCTGAGGCGCAAAAGGTTGCAGTGACATCAAGGGAAAGCTATGGGGAGAGATTGCAAGGCTGCTTTGAGCTGAACAACTTGGATGAGTTAGAGCAGGAACAAATTGTTCCAGACCCTCCTAAGTGTCCCTATTTTCCAGGGACATGCCCGGATTTACAGAAGCCACCCCGGTTTCTGATATGATTCCGCTTTTCCTTAGCACGTCCCTATTTCCATCGGAGAAATATTGCAGGGTATGGAGTTACGGGACCCTCGAGCCAAGGAGATAAGTAAATATACAACCTTTAGAAGGCTTAACCTTTAGAATGGGGGACGCGGGTGGCGCTGTGGGTTAAAGCCTCAGTGCCTAGGACTTGCCGATCAAAAGGTCGGCGGTTCGAATCCCCGCGACGGGGTGCGCTCCCGTTGCTCGGTCCCAGCGCCTGCCAACCTAGCAGTTCGAAAGCACCCCCGGGTGCAAGTAGATAAATAGGGACCGCTTACTGGCGGGAAGGTAAACGGCGTTCCATGTGCTGCGCTGGCTCGCCAGATGCAGCTTGTCACGCTGGCCACGTGACCCGGAAGTGTCTGCGGACAGCGCTGGCCCCCGGCCTATAGAGTGAGATGGGCGCACAACCCTAGAGTCTGTCAAGACTGGCCCGTACGGGCAGGGGTACCTTTACCTTTACCTTTAGAAGGCATCTGAAGGCAGCCCTATATAGGGAAGTTTTTTAAATGTTTAATTAGGTTTTTATATATGTTAGAAGTGGTCCAGAGTGGCTGGGACAACCCAGCCAGATGGGCGGGGTATAAATGAGAAAAATTATTATTATTATTATTATTATTACTACTACTACTATTATTAAATAGGATGTCTGTATTTTAATCAGATAAATGTTTGAGGGTACGTTGTTCTAAACACTTAAGTTTTGGCTACATGTTAATCAGTTATAGAGTTTGGATTTGATATCCCGCCTTTCACTCCCTTTAAGGAGTCTCAAAGCGGCTAACATTCTCCTTTCCCTTCCTCCCCCACAACAAACACTCTGTGAGGTGAGTGGGGCTGAGAGACTTCAGAGAAGTGTGACTAGCCCAGGGTCACCCAGCAGCTGCATGTGGAGGAGCGGAGACGCGAACCCGGTTCCCCAGATTACGAGACTACCGCTCTTAACCACTACACCACACTGGCTCTCTTATGTGATTATATCCTCCACAGATTTTTTTCTTAACCCCTCCCCCCCAAAAATAAACCCTTGGGTTAAGCTGCCTCCGAATGGAAAATGCAGGTAATAATCATAATACTAATACTACTACCAATAATAATAATAATAATAATAATAATAATAATTTTATTATTATGTATACCCTGCCCATCTGCTGGGTTTCCCCAGCCACTCTGGGAGGCTACCAACGGAATATTAAAAGCATGATAAAACATCAAACATTAAAAACTTCCCTAAACAGGTGTGCCTTCATATCTCTCTGCCCCCAGCTCCAGGCCCTTCCCAAGTTATTCCCCCTCACACAAATATGTACACACTCATGTGTACATGTGTGACAGGTAAGAGAAATCTGAGTAAGCTGTGGGTTAAGCAAAAAAACAAACTGCTTTTGCGCTTCAGAACACCAGAGGAGAAAGAGTTACACAGTCACCCTCCTTCCCTTCCCTTCTGGCAGATTGCCAAAGACTACTTTTGGCAGTCAAAACAAAAGGCTCAGGCTGAATGAGGAAGTCAGTGGGTAACGTGATCCTTAGGAAGTTCCTGAACCTAGGAAGAAGTTTGCAGCTTCCTCTCTCCTCGTCCACAACCCTGCTTTGAGATCTGCACTGGAACTAAGCGATGATAGAGGAAAGAGAGCCATCCGCGTCCTAACTTTTCCAAGACAGGCTATATCGACGTTTGCACAGAACTCAAAGCTATTTCCCCTGCTTCTGGACTTCCGAGGGGGAAAAGTGGGCGAAAGATCCGAGACTGGGCTGGAGGAGTTGAAATGGCAACAGCCCTGGTCTTCTGCCTCCGTCTCTGCCTCCAGCTGCTAGCCCTTCCCATATACGTGCTGTCGTACTTGGGCGTATGGCAGCCCTACTGCAAGAAGATCTTCCCGGCCTTCATGGAGAAGTTTGCACCCAGTTACAACAAGAAGATGTCAAGGCAGAAACAAGAGCTGTTCCGCAACTTGTTGGAGTTTGCCGGCCCCTCGGGGCAGCTGCGGCTGCTGGAGATAGGAACCGGCACGGGCTCCAACTTCCAGTTCTTCCCGGCCAACTGCAGGGTCACCTGTACAGACCCCAACCCCCACTTTCAACGGAGTCTAGCCAAAAGCATGGCCCAGAACCAGCACCTTCAGTTTGACAGCTTCTTGGTGACCCCGGCGGAGAATCTGCAGGAGGTGGCCGATTCTTCCGTCGATGTCGTTGTTTCTACTTTGGTCCTCTGCTCCGTGCGGGACATGCAAAGTGTTCTGAGCGAAGTCTGCAGGGTCCTCAAGCCGGTGAGTATTTGAGGGGGAGAGGGCAGCAAAAGAGACATGGTGGGTTAGAGATGCAATTTCAGAGGGGTATAGTAGGCAGCAGGCCGATGCAAAGGAAGGGAGCAGTGGGGTTCACTTGTTCCAGACCTCGAAGATGGCATGGGGGCCCTCGCCAGGGTCTCCCAAACTTACGCTGTCATGCCAATAACAAGACTCCCACCCCAGACCTCAGACAAGCTCTGAACAGGCCTGGTAAGAAGCTGTGTGTTACAGTGCAATTGTAAGCATGCTTATCGGGTGGTAAGCTCCACTGAACTAAATGGGACTTTGCTTCTGAATAAACATGCCTAGGATTGCAGACCTTCCGAGTGTCCCTATTTTCCAGGGACAGTCCCAGAGTTACAGAAGCCGTCCCGGTTTCTGATTCGATCCCGGAATGTCCCACGTTTCCTTAGGAGGTCCCTATTTTCATTGGATAAATGTCGGCGGGTATGGATTTATGTGATCCCTGAGCCAAGGAAATAAGTAACTATACAATCTTTAGAAGACATCTGTCTTACCAGACTGACTTTGTGTATGTTCCTTTTGACAAAGGCCTAAAGCTTCACTGAAGCCTGTGTCTATTTGGCATTCCTTTTGGGACCACTGACTACGGACCCCAACCTTGTACTAAATTTCCCTGTCAGACAGAAGGGAGATTGCTAGTGGCAGGTAATCAGCCCTTGGGCTTACATGTTTGCGAATGCCCCAAGTCTAATATTCATTCAGAAGATGTATATTTTGCCTTTTGACTGAATGATCCTCAATGCAGCTTGCAACAGATTGTAATAACATACATATGTAGGAGCTCTTAGACCTTCGAGCTACTGGAATATTGACATTTTCGCGGGTATTTATGCAAGGAAGAAGCAAAGCACAAGTAGGTCAGTCAGATTTTGGGGGAAATAAATACCTGGTGAAATTGATTTTAAGGCACTGAAAGTGGTCTTATATCATGCACAAAACATCCTACACTCTTGATTTCCCTGGAATACTTATTGTTCAAATGGTCTCCTCCTTTCCTTTAGGGTGGAGCATTTTATTTCTTGGAACACGTGGCTGCAGACCATTCAAGCTGGTGCTACTTTTGGCAGCAAGTTCTCTTCCCAACATGGAAACTTCTCTTTGACGGATGCTGCTTAACAAGAGAGATCTGGAGTGTTCTGGACAAAGCAAATTTCTCAGATGTAAAGCTGCAACATATATACGTCCCCTTACACTGGACACCGATTCAGCCACATATCATTGGTTATGCTGTAAAGTAATTCTCAATTCACCAGTGCAATCCAATCAGATGAATGTTTACTGAAAAATATGTTCCACTGAGTTCAGCTCCTGTGTCAGACTGCAATACAGTAGTATGCTCAGTTACTTGGGAGAAAGCTCCACTGAACTTTTATTTTTATTTCTGAGTAAACATGCTAAGGCTTCTCCTTTTATATACACATTTCAAAGGAAGTTTCTTTCTCTGAAAGGAATTCAGTTCTACTTTCTAAAGTGCAGAGCAGACTGGGGGAATCTTAGAATATAGTCAACGACAGCTTGTTTAAATCAATTAACTGCGAATTAAAGCACTACTAAGACACCATTTTAAAGTTCTCTGCATGCTTTTTTCTCCTAAAAAATACCGTATTTTTCGCTCTATAAGACGCACCACACCATAAGACGCACCTAGTTTTTGAAGGAGAAAAACAAGAAAAAAATATATTCTGAATCTCAGAAGCCAGAACACCAAGAGGGTGAAAGCAGCAATCCCTCTTGCTGTTCTGGCTTCTGGGATAGCTGCGCAGCCTGCATTCGCTCCATAAGACGCACACACGTTTCCCCTTACTTTTTAGGAGGGAAAAAGTGAGTCTTATAGAGCAAAAAATACGGTATGTGTAAACACATAGCATTGCTAACTGGCCAGAAAAAGAAATCAGCCTGGCCAGCTTGTGCTGATTTGATCTGCAGAAATCAGCTGGTGAAGCTTTTACTGACAGACACCTAAATATTATCTGAGTGGGGTGTAGAGATTGGGGAATTCTCACCACTTGCTTCAAACAATTCCAGGACTGTGAGGGGCAGAGCCATGGCAGATGAACTGGTGGGGAAGGGACCCTCGCTCAGTGACAGAGTACAAGGTGCAATCCTTGGGCTTCCTGTTAGGACCCAATTGCAGGTGACATGGAAAAAATATTGTCCAAGACCTCTGGCAGCGTAGTGAGCACGGGCAGAGTTGGACAAAAAGTCTGACCCTATATATGGTTACCTATATTAAGAAGTGAAGATGTGTTTGTAATGTAGCTATTACAATTTTTTGTTGATGAAACTGCTGGTAAAGGGGTTGGTACAGGAACCAGTTCAAAAGTTGCCTACTTCAGCAGTAGTTAATTGATGTCAGTATTTAACTTTATCATTTTTGCTTTATGGTTGTTTTATTGCTGCAACCCACTTTGATATATTTTTTATGACATAGCAATACATATTTTATACATAAAACTCTATCCCAAACCTATTTTAACATGCCTTTAGGACTACCATATTCTACATGTTAAATATGCATTTATACCTGGGTTCTGGAAGTGGTTGATATTGACCCCCTACAGTTTAGGGGGTGAATAAAGAGCCAGGGGTTGAAAATGGTCTAGCAGTAGGAAATCTTAATGACGAATAGTGCAAAAGAATGATCATCATGAGCCTCAGAAATAAACAGTATGGGCATGTATCTTCCTTGCCAATGTGGAACCTTATATTTAACAAGATTTCACAATCCAACAGTATGCCAGATTTATTTTTACAATTCCTGGTAATGGTGGATGATTAATAAATGTTCATGATATTCTGGTATTTCTTGACTATATTTCATATACCTACCTAAGTATATGCAGTGGGGTTGATGCCAACTTCATAAGTTCATCAAAGGGTCAATGAACTCCTAAGCGTAGGAATTAAACATGAGAAGACATGAGCACTGAACCACTGTCATATTACAAGTGAACTCTTTATTTACTGTGTTTGCTATTGTTTAAGATAAAACTAATTTGAGAAGTAGAGACGTCACCTTGCCAACAAAGGTCCGTATAGTTAAAGCCATGGTTTTCCCAGTAGTGATGTATGGAAGTGAGAGCTGGACCATAAAGAAGGCTGATCGCCGAAGAATTGATGCTTTTGAATTATGGTGTTGGAGAAGACTCTTGAGAGTCCCATGGACTGCAAGAAGATCAAATGCATCCATTCTTAAGGAAATCAGCCCTGAGTGCTCACTGGAAGGACAGATCGTGAAGCTGAGGCTCCAGTACTTTGGCCACCTCATGAGAAGACTCCCTGGAGAAGACACTGATGCTGGGAAAGATGGAGGGCACAAGGAGAAGGGGGCGACAGAGGACGAGATGGTTGGATAGTGTTTTCGAGGTTACCAGCATGAGTTTGACCAAACTGCGGGAGGTAGTGGAGGACAGAGGTGCCTGGTGTGCTCTGGTCCATGGGGTCACGAAGAGTCGGACACGACTAAACAACAACAACAATTTGAGAAAGAAACTTTTGCCATTTTTATGGACGTTGATTGTTTACAGATAGTTACCTTGGTGATATTGTGTTGATTGCAGTAGCCCTTGTATTACCACCCTCTTCATTGCTTTATAGCAGTTAAGCTTAGCCAGCCATGTTGGGCAGAAGATTCCTGCATCGCAGGCGGTTGGACTAGATGCCCCTCGGGATCCCCTTCCAACTCTATGCTTCCATGCACGAAACGAAGGCGTCTGTATACACACCTGCTTACTGCTGACTTGCTGTTTATTGGAAATTTAATTTGCAATTCTTTTTTTTAACCAGACCTTTGGTTGATCTGATTGACATCCTATGCCCTTTTAAAATGTGGATCCTTTGGGGGGGGGTATTGGGTTGTTTTCATTTTGATTTTTTATATATTGTGGTTTTTATATCTTTTCTGTGAACCTCCGGGTATAGGGTGGTATATAAATTCAATTAATAATAATAATAATAATAATGCAATTGCAGCAAATCAAACCAACTGGGTATAGGGCAGTATATAAATTCAATTAATAATAATAATAATAATAATAATAATAATACTGCAATTGCTGCAGATCAAACCAACCGGTAAAGCAAGGAGGTGTGTGGGCAATGCAATGCAATTCTTTATCGAAAACGAAACAAAAGGAAAAAGGATCTGAGTCAAATCTTAACTTTAAATTTTACTTCCAAAAAAGATTTCTTCGAAGGCTGGGGATGTATTCCCTCAGCGTTCTTGGAATGGGCTTTAAATCGCGCAGAAATCCCTCGCAACCGCGGCTCGATCGGCCTCGCTGTTATGTTTGCCCCATTACGGAGGGAGGTTTCGTCCCGCCGGAGTTTCGCGCGGACCTCGTATCCGACCCGCGCGCCCTTTCCAGGCAAATGCAAGAGCGGGAGGCCGTCGAGCGCAGAATCCCCGCAGCCCCCGTCACGTGACGCTCCCAACGTCACTCCGGCCGAGGAGAGGGAAAGACGGCGAGAGTGGGGGAAAGTTGGCCGCCATTTTTTCTCCCTCGACGGACGATGCGGCGGAGCCTTCGCCCCGCAGCCGGGCCCTCGCTGGCGCTCCTCGCGCTGCTGTACGGACCCCTGCCCGGAGCTCTGCCCTCCAAGGTCCCCGCATACGGTGAGCCCGGCGTCCCCCCTGGTTCCCGTGGGTGAGGCAGCGGGCGCTTGGGCAGGGCAGGTTCCCTCACGCGTTGAGGGCCTTGGGCGGAAGTGCGCCTGCGCGCGGAGTACCCCTCCGAACTACGCGAACTACGACTCCCGGCAGCCTCCAGTGCGACGGACGCAGAGTGCGTAAGGGGCATGCCAAGGAGAGTCGAGCACGTGGAGGGATGCCTCCTGGCGTGGTGGAATCCTCAGCTGTTTCTTCCCGGACGGCTTTTCCTTCTACTCTCCCGATTACTGGGATCTCTTCCCAAGTTAAGCGGCCCTCGGTTTGCCGCTCTGCCTGGCTGCTGTTTTTCCTGGAGGTCGAAGCACGTGGATCTAATCTTAAGCAAAGAAGGCAACGAATACTCTACCGTTTTCCCTCCCTTCTGCTCCTGTTAAACGGCGCTTGCTGCTATACGTGGTGGAGTTTAGGTCCCAAGGGGGAAAAGGCTCCGGGGCTCAAACCTGTTTGGAAGCGCCCGCGAAAGTGGATTTAATTCGAGTAATTCCTCCATTTAGTAATTTTCTGAATTTTTGTTGTTGTTGTTAGTCGTTTAGTCGTGCCCGACTCTTTGTGACCCCATGGACCAGAGCACGCCAGGCACTCCTGTCTTCCACTGCCTCCCGCAGATTAGTCAAACTCATGCTGGTAGCTTCGAGAACACTGTCCAACCATCTCGTCCTCTGTCGTCCCCTTCTCCTTGTGCCCTCCAACTTTCCCAACATCAGGGTCTTTTCCAGGGAGTCTTCTCTTCTCATGAGGTGGCCAAAGTACTGGAGTCTCAGCTTCAGGATCTGTCCTTCCAGTGAACACTCAGGGCTGATTTCCTTCAGAATGGATAGGTTTGATCTTCTTGCAGTCCATGGGACTCTCAAGAGTCTCCTCCAACACCATAATTCAAAAGCATCAATTCTTCGGCGATCAGCCTTCTTTATGGTCCAGCTCTCACTTCCATACATCACTACTGGGAAAACCATAGCTTTAACTATACGGACCTTTGTCAGCAAGGTGATGTCTTCTTTTCTGAATTACCGTGTAACAATGCCACAGGCACACGGTCGGTGTCGATCTCTGCCCCTAAAGTTCATATGATTGCAACATTCCTTTTCTAAGCTCTGGAAGAAAGGAGGTTTTGTTAGGTTGTCAGTGCTGCTTTGGGGCGGAAACGGTGTAAGATGTCACTTTCAGCAATTTAAGAATACACGTGAAGTGTACCAGTTCAAGCAGTATTGGCTTGAAATTTAATCAGCTTTGTAAGCATATCTGACCTGTTCAGTAAGGCTGTTGTGCCCTTTTAGAAGCAAGCCACATAGGCCATTAAATTGATTTCCATAATTCATAATAATGGAAAAGTTTTAAGAAGAATTGCCTTTCCAAAAGCCTTTTACGTTCAGTTGTTTTAATTTAATGCTGTGTAATCATGTGAAGAAGAAGAAAAACAAGTTCTAGTTTTAATCTTGTAAAGTAGATCTTGAGCATAGATGAGATTGTGATATTTCCAGGTGGGAATTCTGATTCATGTTTTTCAGGGTGCTGCCGCACAGACAAATTGGGATGAGATCTGCCCCTTCACCTCTGTTTAGACTTTGTTTCTCCTTTGTCATTTTGTTGCAGCAATAGAGAAACAGGCCTGGATCTGCTCAGGGACTTTCCATACTGTATTTTTATTTTTATTTAATTCTTTTTGCAGGATTGTGAAACGCTTTATCAGATTTCAGTTTAGTCTGAGTTTTTTATCTAGACCAGTGGTTCCCAATTAGGGGTCTGGGGACCTCTGGGGGTCTGTGAAATGCCCCCATGGGGTCCACAGCCCATCCCCACTAAATTTTTGCATGGTAATATCACAGTTTTTATAGTCTGTGTTTTTTTGTATACCTTTGATTATTTTTTTAATATACCTTTGCTTGTTAGGGGCTACCCTAAAAAATTGCTTTGCAGAGGTACCGGTAATTATCATAGAGTTATCAAAATTTTCAAAAGCAGGGGGTCTGTGGCTTCGCTTTTGAAAAATAAGAGATTCTCAGTACAGTGGTGCCCCGCAAGATGAATGCCTCGCAAGACGGAAAACCCACTAGACGAAAGGGTTTTCCGTTTTGGAGGTGCTTCGCAAGACGAATTTCCCTATGGGCTTGCTTCGCAAGACGAAAATGTCTTGCGAGTCTTGCCATTTTTTCCCCGCTTCCCCCCCCCTTTTTCTAAGCCGCTAAGCCACTAATAGCCTTTTAGCAGCTCAGCCGCTAAGCCTTTAATAGCCGCTAAACCGCTAATAGCGCTAATCCGCTTAGCCGCTAATGGGGTTGCTTCGCAAGACAAAAAAACCGCTAGACGAAGAGAATCGCGGAATGGATTCTTTTCGTCTTGCGAGGCACCACTGTAATTAGCTAATTGGGAACCACTGATTTAGACTTTATGCCACATTACAGTAATAATTTACATCAAGTGTTTTGTTTTGTAATGAAAAGTACTCAACTTGTTGAATTGTACTGTTATCTTTTCCCTTTCCTGTGTCTTTTTTATGTGTGTGTGTGTCTTCTATGTACTGTTATAAGAATTCTAAGGTGTCATAAATAAAATGTGTGTTCGTAAGTGCACAAGGTAAACACTCATACATAAGTACCTAAGCTACATGTCTGAAATAGTACAGGAGAGCAATCCTGAAGCCATCTTGACTTTTAATGACCCCAGCTATTTCCTCTGCAGAAGAAAATACAGTTGTACCTCGGGTTACATACGCTTCAGGTTACATACGCTTCAGGTTACAGATTCTGCTAACCCAGAAATAGTGTTTCAGGATAGTGCTTCAGAACTTTGCTTCAGGATGAGAACAGAAATCGTGCTCTGGCAGCAGCAGGAGGCCCCATTAGCTAAAGTGGTGCTTCAGGTTAAGAACAATTTCAGGTTAAGTACGGACCTATGGAACGAATTAAGTACTTAACCTGAAGTACCACTGTATCTTGGAAAAACCTCTCCCAATAGTTCTTTTAACTTACAGGTCCAATCAAATCCAATCAAAAGAGCACATTTTGTGTATGAATATGGGAGGTCTGTGGCCATGATTTCAGAAACTAGGTTATTTACCATTTCAAGAGGATGGCTCAGACTAGCCAGAATAAGGCAGTCAGCACACATTAGGTATCTTGACAAACAGGAGACAAGCCACACCCTCAAATTTCTGTTGTAGACTGCCTCTTTCCGTGATGCTTGTGTGATGCTTTTGGGTGGTCTTTGAATAAGGGGTTGGGCAATTTCTAAGTCTTCAAAAGCTGTTATACACTGGTGTTGTGGGCCCTTCTCACCTCCTTGCAAGGGAGGGAGGACTCTGGTGCAACAGGAAAATAAAGATCTGCCTTGCTTTGACTGGTTCCTGCCTCCATCCATTCTTCTGTGACCGATAACTGTCTTAAGGGACACTGAATCCCTTGATGGAGAGTTGGGCTGCAAAAACCAACCCCAATTTTTTCTATAACAATACCTTCCATAATATCTCTTAAAAATTGTAATGTTTTGTACTCCTTTGTTTCTGTTCATAAACGTGTGCCTTTTGTAGTAAAAAGAAGAGGAAGAAACATTTGTGCAAATGGAGCCTTTCCCTTAACTTGAATTGCCTTCTGGGTGAAATTTTCAGGGAACAGAGGCAGCTGAGGTGGGAAAACTTAACAATCCTCTCTTTCCCATGTGCTGCCACCCCCACCCCATTTAGAGAAAAAGGTCCCATACCCAACAACTGGAACCTTTTCCTGAAGCTAAATTGCTGTGAGGAGCAGTTGGGAGGGAAAGGTTAATCACCTCTGCCCCCCCCCTAAAAAAAACATTGCCAGGAGTCTGAGCAGCAATTCAGCTTAGGAAATAAAACTCCTTTGTAAGGAAGAGCAGGATATAATTTTAACAAAATTGTGTGTGTGTGTGTGTGTACACACACACACACTCCATTTGTGTGACTCTTAACTTTTTCTCTAAGCTTGAATGCATCCGGGGAGGGAAGAGGAAGGAGAGAAGGGGATGCATTTAAATTACTGGGTGGGTGAATGTGAATGAAATTTGTATGCTACTCTGGTCCCAGTCACATTGACCTCTTATGTTTTGGCTTCTGTTATATGTTTGGCCACCATCCTGGAGGCATGCACTCTGTTAACCTCAATCAAACAAGTTGGTGTGTTCTTTTAGGCCGGCATCTGACAATAAGATTATTTAATGGTTCACAGAAGCCTTCATACTTGCATAATCTCCAACAGAAAGCAATCTGATAACAGAACTGCTGTGTCAGATTGGACGGTTGAAACAATGGCTATATTGTATTGTTGCTGAATGCCTGCTGTGTTTTACACTGAAATACCAGTACAACTTTTTTATTTTTAGAATGCGGAAGAAGGCCTCTTGTGGATGAGACAGCAGAAGGATCTCGGATTATAGGTGGACATGATGCTCAGCTTGGGGCTTGGCCATGGCAAGTTAGTCTACAAGCTCAACCTGCTCCTCGAGAATCTTTTTACCATATATGTGGTGGATCTTTAATTAATAGCAACTCAGTGCTGACAGCAGCACACTGCATTAAAGTAAATATGTATGTATTATTTTTTTTTGTTCTGAATCTTTTTCTGTCAGTTTTGTGCTTGAGGGACATGTATTGGTCTCTACCCACAAGGGGGGATCTGGAAAAAAATTTTTAGTACTGTTTATTGCCAACCCTTAACAGGGGTGTTTTGGTTCATGTGTCTTCAACTAGCCTAATTGAACCATACCAGAGCAGGAGCCCTATAGCGTTGGCCATGGCTCAGGGGAAAGAGGAGGGAGAAAAGGAAGAGGGGAAGATTTCAGTTTTTCCTACCATTCTGAAACCTTTCCCCATTATGCCATATAATACTGTGGTTTTCAAGTTCAGGGCTGGTTGCCAGACATAAATCTGAACACTTAATTTAATCCAATCCGTGCAATACTTCTGTAGGGCAGTCTTTACTGATGACAATTTCCATGTGGTTGCTATAGAATACATAGCTTGTCAAAAAAAAAAAAAAAAGTTGGGTAGATAGAACCTTGCAGGCTGGCATATGTCCATGGAAACCTTCTTTCCAAAATAGCCACCAGCCATCCTCCTGAAGCACTTATTTCATGAACCATAACATCTACATAACAGTTATGTACTTAAGTTTTGGTTGTTTCCTTAATAGCTCATATAGTATTGTATAATAATGCAGTCTTATTAAAGTAATATAATTATGCTAATAATACTCAAAATAGGTACAAAAGAAGTGGAGAGGTGTACCTCAAACTCTGAGTCCCCAAAAATGATATATCCACACTCCAGGAGAATCATCTGCAAGATGGACTGGAATGCCACTTTACTATAGTTATTTTTACACATTTACATGTTTTTAATTATATGATTATGTTGTTACCCACTCTGGGACTTTATGGTGAAGGGTAAGAAAACTGGGTGGGGAGAGCAGCACAGGAAAGGAGTGTTTGTTTGTTTGTTTGTTTGTTTGTTTGTTTGTTTGTAGCTCATGGTGCCTATCTGCCAACTCTAATGATCACTTACAGTATACTATTAAATGTTAGGGGCTTAAGCAGGCCATCTTGCCCTCTGAATTGACATCTTCACCATTCGACAGCTGAATTAGCCTCAACGATAGATCAGATTTCTAAACTCACACTATCTATAGCACTCTGATCCTATAATTATCACGACATACCTACACATTTCCATCATTGGTATTTGAATGCACAGTGAAGGCAGAAATCATTTAGCGTCACTTGAAGCTTGCCCAAACCCATTTGGTCTTGAGCATGCCAATTCCTTCTTTTCCCCACCTCAGGTTTTCTTTTTTCTTTTCCTTCTCAGCTATGATGTTAAGATTCTGTTAGGCCCAAAAATTCAGATTCATGTCAGGCTTTTGCTTCTTTGTCTTTGTGTTTGTAAATATATTTTTTTCATTTAACTTAAATACTGCAGATCTAGGAAGTCCCCGAATATGCAGAAATAATCCGCTTTTTTTTTTTGAGTGGCACCAATTCTCTTCCACACAGATGGGCCCTCAATTGCCCAAGTTCTAGAGAAAAAATAATGAATTGCTGTGTCAGCCCATATAGGAATAGTATCATACTGTGAGGGTATAGGCTAAATTTTCGATATGTGCCATTTTCACAGATCTGCGACACAGCAGAATCACAGAAAGGCTGTCTAGGTGCAGTCTGTATGCTTCTGTGACATCAGAAGCCAGTGTCAGTCCTTTAAATAACATTCAAAGCAGGAAGGCATTTTCATTTCTGGGAGAAAGTTGAACAGTTTTGGGGGAGTGGTGCCTTACTAAAAACAATTTTCTCCTACTACTTCAAGCAGAGCATAGCTGCTGTCTTTGGTTGTTTTGTGGGTCACCGTGACGCTCCAAAATGCCCTGACAGGAATGACATTCTGTTATGATCTTGTAGTGGTGTTTCAACTGCAGTATTGGGAAATATGGCTTATTTGGCTACTGATTGTAGCAGCTCTACACCACATGAAGCAGCTGCCGCCACCTAAACAAATTGCCCTCCTTTGGCCTACCTCCCCCACCCCACATTGGCCTCCAGATCAGAATCTAGCCCATCTTAATAAGCCACTGTTAACCTCATAGTTGGATACTTAATTGCTTTTCGATCACAGCTAGGCTCATTTAGGATTCAGTACCTAGAAGAGAGCTTTCCAAACTCTGTGCTGCGACAAATTAGTGTGCTGGCTGCAGTGTGTAGGTGTGTTGCAGGGAAGCGGGTGGCACAGTAGTCTAAACCACTGAGCCTCTTGGGCTTGCCGATCGGAAGGGCGGTGGTTCGAATCCGCAGTGGTTCGAATCTGCATGACGGGGTGAGGTCCCATCGCTCTGTCCCAGCCAACCTAGCAGTTTGAAAGCACACCAGCGCAAGTAGATAGTTATTGGAATTTTTCAACATAAATGTGCCATTTTAACCCTCAGCCATGCATGCTAAGGTAACGTGTAACAGCTGAGAATGGGGATGCTACGAAGGGCACTTTCTCTTTATTTAAAAGCATTTCGAAATTGCTTAATATTCTAAAAACCTAAGTGGCATGCAACACAAAAACAATATCTGTATCACCAACATACTTTGGTGACCAAGAGCAACGGAATTGCAGGGGCCGGAGAACCAGCAAAATGAAAAGTACATGCAGATCAGAGCCCATCAGTGGTGCACTTTGCACGTCAACCAGTTATATGAATAGGTCACACACACACCCCAATGAACTTTTTTTGGATGTATCATCAGTAGGCTTTGCAGGAGAGCAGCCATGTAAGCCTCTTGCAGGAGAAACAGGAAGCATTGAGGCACCTTAAAGACTTCACAAGTGTTACCGGCATAAGCTTTCATTGACTGGCTCATTTCTACAGATAGTGGAGCCGGTGGCGCTGTGGTCTAAACCACTGAGCCTCTTGGGCTTCCTGATTGGAAAGTTGGCAGTTCAAATCCACACGGCACAGTGAGCACCTGTTACTCTGTCCCGCCTTCTGCCAACCTAGCAGTTCAAAAGCATGCCAGTGCAAGTAGATAAATAGGTACTGCTGCGTCTGGAAGGTAAAAAGCGTTTATGTGCTCTGGCACTCATTATGGTCATCTGTGTGCCAGTAGCAGTTTAGTCATGCTGGCCAAATGACTCAGAAAGCAGTCTGGACAAACGCTAGTTCTCTCGGCCTGAAGCAAGATGAGCTCCACAACCCCATAGTTGCCTTTGACTGGGCTTAAGTAGGGGCTGGAACGGGTTAGTTTAACCTCCAGTGTGCTAGTAAAACTGAATTACTGTGTCGTGAAATGATGCTTGTCCAAAAAGTGTGCCAGCAACTTGAAAAGTTTGAAAAGCGCTGACCTAGAAGTTCCAGTAGGATTTATCAGCAAAAGGATTTTCACCATAGGTTCAGGTTTTAAAACAGCCTCGTATCATGAAACTCGTACCATTGTAGATTACAAATGACACTTATCTTTTCTTTCTGTATGGCTTCCATGATTCGCTATGACATGTCCAAAGGGATTGTTTACTTTGAGCAACAGGTGTATAAACTGATGCATAAACTGCTTATGCAGCTCTTCCCATTCAAAAGTGCTCTGGAATAGTTTCTACTCAAAAGTTCTAGTGTCAAATGCAAAATTATCTGTGCAGTTCTTTTGCATCGATGGACAATCTTTCCATTACCTCCTATTTTCTTGTTTTCCCCCCACTTAACTTTATTTTTGATTCTGAATAGAATTTCCGAATAAATTTCCATAAAACTAATATACTATTTAAATCACAGAGATAGCAAAACTCCTAGGCTAGCTTTTATGAAGAGTGAGCCATGACAAGATTCCAAGTTCATGGTTTGAGTAGAGTTCCTGAAGGGGAATGATTGCATGTGTGTTGACCCTGTTTTGCTGTTGCTCTCAAATTTTAAAGTCTGAAATGGGAACTTCTGCACTAATTATTTACTCTAGAAGGGATTTTATTCTGTCCTAGGAGTCCAGAATCTTGGAGGGCAGTGATTGGCTTGCATCATCTGTATAAACCCCACTCTCGTACTGTAATACAGAAGGTCAGCACTATCACAATCCATTCTGACTTTGAATGGGGCACCTTTGAAAATGATGTTGCCTTGTTTCAACTTGCCAAGCCTGTCAAGTACAATGACTATATTCAGCCCATCTGCTTACCTGACACTCCTCCTCTCCTGTCTCATGAGACCTCGTGTTACATAAGTGGATGGGGAAGCACATATGAACATGGTAAATCTTTTATTTTTTCTTTAAACTTTTGTTACTAGTGAGAATTAAGTTATCTCCAGCTGCATACTTAGCTGGAAAGTGAGTCCCATTGAAGCAGTTGAACTTATTTCACACATGGGGAGAACATGGATCTTCAGATCAGTGGCACTGCCATGAGCACATACATAGCTCCACAGTATGGCAACCTTTTCCTGGCTGATTTAGAACACTTTCGGATTTCCCCAAAAGCTTTTCCTTTACCTACGGGTGCTTCCGGATTGCTGTTATTGCAGGATCAGTGTTCTTCATGTCTGCAAGTATTTTGTAGATTCCTCATGATGTCATTATCCCAATGGCAGCTTGTATTTTCCTCATTTAATCCAGATTTGCCATTTCCAGGGAAATAATAATAAATTTTAATTGTTTGTTTGTACATACATACCTCACCCATCTGACTGGGTTGCCCTGGGCAGCTTCTGACATAATAAAAACAAAGCAAAACATTAAAAACCTCCTGATACAGGGCTGCTTTCAGATGTCTTTGGAAAGTTTTGTAGTTGTTAATCTCTTTGACATCTGATGGGAGGGCGTTCCACAGGGTGGATGTCCCTACTAAGAAGGCCCTCTGCCTGGTTCCCTGTAACTTCTCAGTGACAGAAGCTCTAGAAGGCCCTCGGAGATAGATCTCAGTGTCTGGGCTGAATAATGGAAATGGAGATGCTCCTTCGGGTGTACAGGGCCGAGGCTGTTTATTGCCAGTGGCCCATTTGCAACATTAAGTGAATGTCTGAGATACACTGATGTACATTATCATTTGGATTCTTGGGCAGGAGACTCTTGAGCAGTTCCATCAGGACTTCAGTAACTTTCACTCCAACATTAACCTGGACCTGGACCACTGCATACAATAGGTTAACTGTCTGGACACTACTGTGCAACTGTATAATAGAAATATAAGCATCACCTTCAATTGGAAACTCACTAACTGCTGCACATACTTAAGTGCTTCTAGCTACCACTTACACACTCTGGTGTGTCCTCAGGTAGAAGAGAGACTTTGAGGGACAGGACCTGAGGAAGGAATGTTGTAAGTCAGCTATGGAGATGTTTGCATCTTATGGAGCTTTGCGATCAGATGATCTGACAATGAATGTTCTCTCCAAAGCTGAAGTATTTGTGAGAAAGTGCATAGTAGCAGGGCTTGGTGGCTAGATGTTCTGTAGCCCCATCGGGGGTGCTTCTGATGGCTTGCAGTCCATCTTTGTGGGAGCTGTTGTTGTAAAGAGTTGCAGCATCCATAGTAGCTGGCATGGTGGTTTTGGGGACATTGTCAATGGACAGTAGTTTCATCGGAGTTAGTAGTATCCCATATGTAATTTGTATAGTAGTGCCACATCTTAACAGGTATATTCAAACCATTGGAGCCACTCCAACAAACCAAGCCATCATGCTGAGTGGGACTTAACCTTGCAAGGTGAAGAGCTTAAAACCTTTTTGTACCATGTAACCCAAATGGACCTGCAGCAAAAAATAGCTTTTAAGCGCTCTGCCTTGCTGGGGCAGGGGTAGTGGGTGGTAAATTCTGCTCAATGCACTGGCTCTGAAAGGATAGTGGTGTTTATTTTGCCCTGCAAGATCTCATGAGAGCATCTCACAGCCAGCATGCTGAACGGGCCTTAACCAACAAGCAAGGCAGAGAGCTTTAAAGCTATTTTTATGCTGGGTAACCCCAAGCAGACCCAGCACAAAACGACTAAGCTCTCTGCCTTGCTTGGTACTTAACCTGCACAACTTCAACCAGCCCACCTTCAACTGCATATGCTTGAAATTGCACAAGTCAAATGCGTGTAGGATTAAGGATTACTCTGCTGGTGGCATTGAGTCTATATATCCAGGCACCCCCAACTGTGCAGATACTAATGCCTGAAACAGTTCCCTATGGTTTCCTGCTTTGTGTATTTTGGGTAGTAGATTCAAGATGCCTGGTCAAAGCTCCTGAGATGGGTATGTACAGGTTTGGTCTTGCACATCTGTAGGAAATTCCTCCATCAGGCTGTGTTGTTTCTTCTAAACAAAATAAAAAAATTCCTTCCAGTAGCACCTTAGAAACTAAGTTTGTTATTGGTATGAGCTTTCGTGTGCATGCACACTTCTTAAGATGCACACGAAAGCTCATACCAATAACAAACTTAGTTGGTCTCTAAGGTGCTACTGGAAGGATTTTTTTTATTTTGTTTCGACTACGGCAGACCAACATGGCTACCTAACTGTAACTTGTTTCTTCTAGTATTTCTAAGTGGAATCTGAGGATAAAGGCACAATACATGATAGAACTCATGTCTCAATATATAATGAGTCATTTTTGTGGGAAGGAGGAGTAGATGCTGGTCTATTCTACAAAAAAAAAAAATGCCAGTTATTCAGATACTCAATTACTCTGGCTTTTGCTCTGACCAAACCTGTGCAAACATCTTAATTCTCATATTGTGCACCAGACTAACCTGGCTAATTTGTAAACCTGGCTAATTTGTAAACTGTTTGAACTACCATGCATAGTATAGTGATAGCCGTAATAAAATCTTTATAATATGTATAGCAGTTCAGTTTACAAAGCAAATAATGTGGCACTGAATCTACTGAATTTACATCTGTTTGCCAAGCCATAATGACATTTTATTGCACAGTAGACACTACTACTCTCAGTGGTGGGATCTAAATTCAATGTACTATATTTACACATAGCCACACTCATTAAACAATTGCACTACCGGAAAAATGAAAGAGAATTGAGTTCTGCATTAGTTTCTTAAAAGTACACGCCATAACTCTTGAACCTTAGTTTAGCAACTAATGTAGATTATGCATGGAGAATGGGGGTCTGGTGCAGCAGGCTTAAGAAAGATGTACTGACCCAAGAGCTACTAATATCCCTGTTGTCCTGTACATTGCAGATTATTAAACAACAAATTAGCATACTTCCACTTTTGTCTTGTGTTTTCCTTATAGGCCAAGCTGTACGTATATTACAAGAAGCTCGAGTCAACATTATTCCACAGCAAATCTGTAACAAATTTGATTGGTATGCTGGGGGAGTATCATTGAATATGCTTTGTGCTGGTACTGAAAATGGGAGTGTCGATAGCTGCCAGGTAAAATTCCATTTGAAAAACATATTGGCGAAACCTCCAGCCATGTGGTTGCTAAGTCAAACTTTACTACCTGGTAGTAACACAATTATATGTCAGTGTAACACCATAGTCAGTCAGTTCCAGAAACATAAAAATTTGTTCATATTTATGTGCTAAAACATTTATTATTTACAATAGTGCATAAGTATCCCTTACACACTGAACAAAAATAATAAAAAGTTCCCCCTTGCAAGTATACACTTGAAAAGACAAAAGGAGAATTGGAGAAAGGGTGGAACTAGGGTTGCCATATTTCAAAAAATAAAAGCGAGGACACCCTTAAAGTTGTTTAGGCTTTTTTAGGAAGACCCCCCCAAAAATGAGCTTTTTAAAAGGAAAACCCAGAAATTGTTGCGCTTTTTTAAAGACAAACCCCAAAGTTGTTTTGTTGAGCTTTTTGTGTGTGACAAAAACACCAAAAGAAGCGCGATTTTTCATATGGCAGCCCTAGTGGAACTAGATTTCTAATACAGATTTCAAGGAATGTGCAAATCTGGGCATACTTCCAGCTGAAGTAGAAAAGCCTTCACCATGATTTTTAATAACTTGTTTACCTCAGTAAAGACTGCTAAGAGGTGGGGTAAGGGATAAAAGCGGAGGAACTTTATAGAATAGTCAGAGTGTGTTTATTTTCTTCCATTCAGAACACTTGGACCACATTATTTGCATTCAAAATAGAGGGTGAGGAATGTTCTTCTCAACACCTGTGTACATAATGCCTAGTTACGAGAGCAAAGACTGGATGGCGCGCCATGCGCACTTCAATGCGTAGACTAAATTTCTCATCAGGCTTACTGAGCTTGTAGCTGGAATTCCCATAATAGGCATTACCAATTTTTTTGTAAGTGACATAGTTATGTTTAGTGCTGTTCCACAAAGTCCAGCTTTCCCACATCCATCTTCTCTAGCAATCTGTATTTTTCTTTTGATAACTATTGTTTATAGTTACTTATTAATAGCATTTGATCTGTCGCTCAACAATGCCAAAGCTCTCTGGGAGGCTTACAATAACATGGAAGGCATAGCTCAGACTTACTGAATTCTATCCAGTGCTGTGTGAGTAGAGTTCCACTCACAAACAGGACTTCCACTTCCTCTCCTCCCCTGCAATGCCCAAAGGTGGTTTGGTTTTTCAACCCTCCAGAACTGTTTCTGAGGGTGCACAGGGAAGGGAGAGGAAGTTCCACTGTGTGCATGGAAGCCTATTGCACCCGTAAAGCTCCAGCATTAGATACAGCCCCTACTATCATAATTTCTATGCACGCTACATCTCCAGAATACCTTCAGCAGCACTCAAGTTATCTTCTTTATTTTTTTATCCTCCAGGGAGACAGTGGTGGTCCTCTGATGTGTTCTTTCCTAGATGACAAGTATTATCTGGTAGGAATCACCAGCAGTGGTGTTGGTTGTGGCCGACCACAATTACCGGGAATCTATATCCGTGCAGCAAATTACAGAAGTTGGATTGATTCACATGTATCTGACAACAAAACCACCACTGTGAGCATTCAGTTTGTCCTGATCTTTTCAACTGCTGGATGGGTAACTTTCCACCTCATTCTCTAAAAGAGGCAAAGTTCTACTCCACTGAGCTAGAATAATCTCAAGTTGTTTTCTGAATTTACTTCTTCCTCTTGGCAAATGTGTTTTAGCCAAATTCATTGATCTGGATTCAGGCATTAAGACCCCGTTGAAATCAAAGTGTAGTTTGTCCCATGGATTTAATTGGGAATGAAAAGTGACACACAGAGCAACCCAAACTGGGCTTGGAAACAGCAGTGGAGTGACAAATATGTTGCCACATCAAAAGTCCTGCTGACTCATGCTGACCAAGGCAGATGTTGGGGAGGGGAGGGATATTTTTTGCTGTGCCAGCTCCAGTCTGCTATAGCTGAGAGGCCTTGAATATCAAACATCTCAGGGAATCTGTGGGATTTTGGGTCCAACAGACCCAAAGCTGCCAGTACCCTGACTCTACCCTGCGATGCCTGCTTTGTGGCTGCTAGCTACCACTGGCAGTAACTTTTTGAATGAATGATTCTGGGGCATCTGCAAAGCAACCCCCACTCCATGGCAGAGAGGTGATTACATTTCATCCAGTCCCCATCAACGTGTGTTTATGTAAGGGATTGTGTTATTAGTTTGCATCCAGTCCTTTATTTTTAAACAACCTATATGCTTTGAATTTTTATTATTATTTACTGAATTTATATACTGCCCTATACCCAGACACCTCAGTGTGGCTCACAGAACAAAATAGATTCAAATATATAATTTCACCCTTAATCTAAAAATATGAACCCGAAAGGCACTTTTCAGTTAACATGTGTGATTTACATTGCAACCATCACACTCTTCAAAATGGACTAAAAGGCATGCTCTGAAAACAGTCACTGAGCATACGATACAAACATATTTTTATTAATGTTTAAGCACAGGACTCATAATTTGTGGAATTAAAATCTTACCCATTTTTTTATTCTAGAAAAAAATGTACACAACAGTTGCCTAACAAACAATGCCATACAATTGTACTGTGTTTGATAATAAATTTTGCAGTTGAATGTCAACCTATTTGAAACCCAAGTGTAGTATTTATGGGAATCCTTAACTTTCCGCTGCTGGTGCCCAACTTACAGGGCGTGGGGGTGCAGTGAATATTATTCACCTGGGCGTGGGGGGTGAGGTGAATATTATTCACTCTGGGCGGCTTCCAGCAGAATATAAAAATGTAATAAAACGTCAAACATTAAAAACTTCCCGATGCACTTGTGTCCCTGGCAAGAGATAAGAAAACAGCCACGTGTGTTGAACCCTGAGTCCGTCCCTTTTACAGGAACATAGCATTTTGAATACAGGCTTGCTCTTTTGATACAAAGGAGGACGAAAAGTGCTGTGGCACAGTAGAATTATTCTGTTTTGTTACCATCTCTATACAGCTGCCTAAAGTACAGTGTGCTTCTGAACATGACAAGAGCTTAAACGAGTGCACTCCCATGCTTGGTCCAGTAATGAATGTTAGATAAAACAAAGAAACACCTATATGCCAGAATACTGTTTCTGGAGTGGAAAGGCGGCAAAAAGGAAAGCTCAATCTGTTGCGTTTCTGCCTCTCAGCTTGTTAATGGCACAGTAAACCTACCAGAAAATGAAACAAAGGAAACCGAAGTTCAAACTCCTGCCAAGTTACGAATCTCCATTATAGATACCTTGGATCACCATGTACAAATCTCTTTCCTACCTCGCATGACTGGAGGGGGGGGGATACATACAGTTGGTATTGTGAAGATCTATAAATAAGAGTTAAGTGTCCCCCCCCCAAAAAAAGCTGCTTCAGAAGTATTGGGAGGGGGTGAACAGGCGGTTTCCGTCCTCCAGTACAGCATGCGAGGTGACCCCGAAGGCCGGGAGCAGGGAAATGAATGGAAATCGCCTTCCCTCCCTCCAGCAAGGCGCTTCCACCGGCTCCCGACACCTCCGCCGCCGGGAGGGGAGACCCATTTTGCAGAGGAACGAGTTGGGGATACCCGCCGCCTGGGAGCGAAGGCCGCCGTCGGAAAAACGTAGCGCGGCCGTCACGTGACGCTCAGCAGGGAAGCGCGGGGGGGAAAGCGGGAGAAGACTCGCAGCCCGCCATTTTGTGTCCTTGACAGACGATGCGGCGTTTTAGTGGGCCGGCTGCTGGCTGGCTGGCGCTGCTCCTGCTGCTGCTGGGCGAGGCTACTGGCGAGAACCCCTCGGCCGGGATCTCTCTAGAGAGTGAGCCCGGCTTCCCTTGGCGGAACCCGCGGGCACATTCTCACGTGTCAGGTTCTCACGTGTCAGGCACGCCCTTCGAGGCTGGGGCTGGAGGGAGGCTGCTAGTGGCCTCCGGTGTCACGGGCTTCCCCTCCAGTGAGAACCGCCCATAAGGAAGGAGGCTGGGGGTGAGGGCTGCACAATGAGACCCTTGGCCACCATCCGAAAAATAAGGGGATTCGGTTTCTGTCCTATTGGAGCAAGCAAAATTATCTGCAGTGTTTTAGGGGTGGGGAAATAATTATTTAGAGCCAATCCTTGAATTAATTGACTGGAAGGTAAAGTTAAAGGGCCCCTAGACGGTTAAGTCCAGTCAAAGGCAACTATGGAGTCCTTTGACTATGGGACTATTGACTGGAGGGACACAGGTGGTGCTGTGGTCTAAGCCTCTTGGGCTTGCTGATCAGAAGGTCAGCAGTTCAAATCCGTGTGAGGAGGTGAGCTCCCGTTGCTCGGTCCCAGCTCCTGCCAACCTAGGAGTTCGGAAGCACGCCAGTGCAAGTAGATAAATAGGTACCGCTGCAACGGAAGGTAAACAGCGTTTCCGTGCACTTTGGTTTCCGTCACGGTGTCCCATTGCACCAAAAGCAGTTTAGTCATGCTGGTCACATGAACTGGAAAGCTGGCTGTGGACAAACACTGGCTCCCTCGGCCTGAAAGCCAGATGAGCACTGCACCCCGTAGTTGCTTTTGGTTGGACTAATAATAATAATAATAATAATAATAATAAATTTTATTTATATCCCGCCCTCCCCAGCCGAAGCCGGGCTCAGGGCGGCTAACAACAGTCAAATAGTCAAACAGTCAAATTCTAAAAACATTCTAAAAACATTTCATTATAAAATTAATTAAAATCAAATTGTTGGCAACCGATTAGGCAAAATTCTGTGCAGGTTGCCAGAGGAGGGAGTCAGGCTGTGCCCTGACCAAAGGCCTGGTGGAACAACTCTGTCTTGCAGGCCCTGCGGAAAGATGTCAGGTCCCGCAGGGCCCTAGTCTCTTGTGACAGAGCATTCCACCAGATTGGAGCCGCAGCCGAGAAGGCCCTGGCTCTAGTTGAGGCCAGCCTAACCTCTCTGAGGCCTGGGACCTTGAGGATGTTGTTATTTGCAGACCGTAGGTTTCTCTGTGGGGCATACCAGGAGAGGCGGTCCCGTAGGTACGAGGGTCCTAGGCCGTATAGGGCTTTAAAGGTTAAAACCAGCACCTTAAACCTGATCCTGTACTCCACTGGGAGCCAGTGCAGCTGGTATAGTACCGGATGAATGTGATCTCGCAGCGAAGACCCCATAAGGAGTCTCGCCGCGGCATTCTGCACCCGCTGGAGTTTCTGGGTCAGTTTCAAGGGCAGCCCCACGTAGAGCGAGTTACAATAATCCAGTCTGGAGGTGACCGTCGCATGGATCACAGTGGCTAGATCAGGGCGAGAGAGATAAGGGGCCAACTGCTTAGCTTGGCGGAGATGAAAAAATGCCGCCTTTGTTATAGCTGTAATCTGTGCCTCCATAGAGAGGGAGGTATCGAAGATTACACCCAAACTCTTAACGGACGGTGCTGGCACTAATTGCACCCCCGCAAGAGATGGGAGTTGCCCCCTCGATCCCATATCGTCCCGCCCCAGCCAGAGGACCTCTGTCTTTGAAGGATTTAACTTCAACCGGCTCCCACGTAACCATCCAGCCACAGCTTCCAGACATCTGGTCAGTGTATCTGGGGCCGAGTCAGGATGGCCATCCATCAACAGATAGAGTTGGGTGTCATCAGCATACTGATGGCAACCCAGCCCAAAACTCCGGACAAGCTGGGCGAGGGGGCGCATAAAGATGTTAAAAAGCATTGGGGAGAGAATCGCACCCTGAGGCACTCCACACACCAAGGAGTGACGCGATGACAATTCCCCCCCAAGCGCCACCCTCTGTCCCCGACCGGAGAGAAACGAGCGCAGCCATTGAAGGACTGTGCCCTGGATCCCCACGTCGGCAAGGCGGTGGTCCAGGAGTTCGTGATCGACCATGTCAAAGGCTGCTGACAGATCAAGAAGAATCAGCAGCCCCGACCCGCCTCGATCCAGCTGCCTGCGGAGATCATCTGTTAGGGCGACCAGAGCCGTCTCGGTCCCATGACCAGCGCGGAAGCCGGACTGGAATGGATCCAGAGCAGATGTTTCATCCAGAAACCTACCGAGCTGTTCAGCAACCGCTCTCTCAATCACCTTACCCAGGAATGGAAGATTCGAAACCGGGCGGTAATTGGATAGATCTAAGAATGGCATGAATAAGTGTGTGTTCCCACAGCAGTTTCTTGAGCAGCAGCTGTCCAAGCCTAAACTGCTGACCTCTTGAAAGTGAGAGAAGCTATGTGTGAATCCATATGAGTATGGCTATTCCAAGCTGCTTACTAGAAACCATGGCCAATATCTGCCCAGGGGTCCTTTACCTTACCTTTTATCACCTAATTGACTGGAAACAAGGCTAGATCCTTTTATGGAGAGCACCTTCGAGAGAAGGAATGGGCTGCCCACATACAAAACAGGAACAGTCTTAGATTTCATGATGCCCCTTGTCCGTCCACCCTCAGAAAGGGGGAGAGGAAAATCATGAACTCTGGATCTTGGAACTAGGATCTTACTCAATTTAGAACATGTGATTTTTACCCATCTTCTTGCAGGTTTAGGTGTCCTGTTGGGGTAAAAAAAAAGAGAGCATCTTACAGTAGTCTTACACTGGTGAGCCAGTGTGGTGTAGTGGTTAAGAACCGGGTTCGCGTCTCCGCTCCTTCACATGCAGCTGCTGGGTGACCTTGGGCCAGTCACACTTCTTTGAAGTCTCTCAGCCTCACTCACCTCACAGGATGTTTGTTGTGGGGGAGGAAGGGAAAAGGAGATTGTTAGCCGCTTTGAGACTTCTCTGGATAGTGATAAAGCGGGATATCAAATCCAAACTCTTCTTCTTCTTCTAGTCGTATAATGTAGTCTTCTGTTAACATATGTTAAAATCAGTGATATTGCAGAGGCTGGCTTTGGTTTGCAACCCAACAATACAGTATAAAAGGTAAAGGTACCCCTGCCCATACGGGCTAGTCTTGACAGACTCTAGGGTTGTGCGCCCATCTCACTCTAGAGGCCGGGGGCCAGCGCTGTCCGGATACGCTTCCGGGTCACATGGCCAGCGTGACAAAGCTGCTCTGGTGAGCCAGAGCCGCACACGGAAACGCTGTTTACCTTCCCGCTAGTAAGCGGTCCCTATTTATCTACTTGCACCTGGAGGTGCTTTCGAACTGCTAGGTTGGCAGGCGTGGGACCGAGCAACGGGAGCGCACCCCGCCGCGGGGATTCGAACCGCCGACCTTTCGATCGGCAAGCCTTAGGCGCTGAGGCTTTTACCCACAGCGCCACCCGCGTCCCTACCAATACAGTATAGTCAGGGTTATTTCCCCCCACACTGTGAATGTTTCAGGTTTGCATAATGTCTCCATCAGGTGTTCTGGGTATCCCCAACAATTCAAGGAATGTACTAGTGCACAAACACAAGTCCTTGCATAAATGGAAAGATGCAAACCAATTGCTGGATTGCATCTCACCAATATAAATTTTGATATTTAGAATGTGGAACCAGGCCACTTGTAGATGAGACCACAGAGGAAGAACGGATTGTAGGTGGACATGACGCTGAAGTTGGAAGATGGCCTTGGCAAGTTAGTCTTCAAGTTCACCATACTAATGGAAGATACCTTCATGTATGTGCTGGATCTTTAATTGATTATGACTCCGTGCTAACAGCAGCACACTGCATTCAAAACAGGTATATATTCAGATCTTTATATATTCAATCTTTTTTCTGTGTCTGGTGTGAGAAAAGTATATGGATCAAATATAAGTATATGGACTTACTGAATGTTTTTTGTATGTGTATCCATACATGTGGCTCTTTATCTTATTTCAGCTTTTTGCAAGGCCAGGTGATTTGTAGTGTTATAGCTATATTATGGATATCTGTCGGAGAAAACCCTCTCAAACACACGGAAGAGGCAAAAACGAAGCAAAAGAGAAACCACAAAGACAGTGGTATATAGAATAAGGACCCCCCCCCTTTTTTTTACCCATAGAAAAAAGGAATCTGCCAACCTGACCAGAGGCAGGGCAGAACTGGAGGGTAGAATGGCTCCTAATCCTGGAAGAGGCAAAAGACTTGAAATGCTTTGCCTATCTGTTCCAGAGGGAGGATCCATCCTATTCACTGAATGTCCCCCAGTCCACTCCAGCAAATTTCTGAATGTAATTCCCCCCTGGGATAATGAGCATCATAAAATCAACTCCCTGCAAAAAAGGCACAGATAGGAAAGGAAATAACATTGCTCTTTTTATTGTCTTTCTTTTTTTGTAACTATTAAACTTCTAATAAATATCATTTTTTTTAAAAAAGGAAATAACAATGCTCTATTTACAGACACAATTGTCATTGTGGCATTCCAAGCAATGCCATAGCTACGGAGGGGCTAGCCCCCAGAGGGGTGCCACTGAAGCTCCCAGCATGGGGGGGGGTGCCAAACTCTGTCTTTGACCTGGGTGAAATAAAGCCTAGTTTTGCCCAATTCCAAGTTAGTTGAAGTGAATTGAAACTCTTGTTGAGCATGTTTTGAGCTTGCTCTGGCTAGTGTTACCTATCTGTATATCTGTTTGGAATCTAAACAATTTGCTGGATATGTTGCTTTTATTATCTGCAGCAATCTCTTTCATTCTTTTGGTGTTTGATGAGTCTAGCTTCATGTTTATTTTTGAACAGATGGTGAAGCAAGACACAAAATTCATTGCTCTGAAGTTGCAATCCTAGCTTAATGATTGACTCTGCAAGGGCTTTCATTTTGTCCTAGGACAACACCACAGCTTTGGAGGGCTGTGTTTGGCTTGCGTCGACTTTATGGAGACAAGATTCATTCTGTAAACAGCCAGGTGATGAAAATCATGCCCCACTGTCGTTATGATGCAAGAAGTCACGTAAATGATATTGCCTTGTTTAAATTAAGCCAGTTTATCACATACAATGACTATATTCAGCCCATCTGTTTACCTAGCACTCCTCTTCTCCTGAGTGACAGGAACCCATGTTATATAAGTGGATGGGGATTGACAAAAGAGAATGGTAAATATTTCCTTTTATTTTTTATTTACTGGCTTCATATACCGCCCTATACCTGAAGATCTCAGGGCGGTTCACAGAACAAAATCAGAATATAAAACATATATATATATATATATATATATATATATATATATATACACACACACACACCGTATTTTTCACCCTATAGGGCGCACTGGCCCATAGGACGCACCTCGGTGTGTTTTTTTGTTTTTTTTTGGGGGGGGGAATAAATAAATATTCCCCTTCCCCCGACCCCAGAACAAGCTGCTATCCGCAAGCCTTGTGCGCCCGGCAGGAACTCCTGCCGGGCGCGCAAGGCTTGCGGACATCTGCCCAAAGCACGGGGCGAGCTCCAAAGCGCGCCCTGTGCTTCGGGTTTCAGCCTGCTGCCCGCAAGCCTTGCGAGCCCGGCGGGAACTCCCACCGGGCGCGCAAGGCTTGCGGACAGCTTCCTGAAGCCTGGAGACCGAGAGGGGTCGGTGCGCACTGACGCCTCTCGCTTACCAGGCTTCAGCGAAAGCCTGCATTCGCCCCATAGGATGCACACACATTTCCCCTTCATTTTTGGAGGGGGAAAAGTGCGTCCTATAGGGCGAAAAATACGTGTGCGTGTGTGTGTGTGTGTGTGTGTGTGTGTGTGTGTGTATATATATATATATATATATATATGTGGTTTTCAACTAATCTATTATTGAGAGTGAGAATTAGTTTGGTGATCTTAGAATACCTCCTTGCTGTGAATACATTGGGACTATTTCACATTACTCGGAAGGAAACCCAGGTTTCCCAACAAGTATACACTCAGTAGGTGTTCATGACCAAAACAAATAAACTGACAATGAGCAGAATAAACTTAGGACCACAACATATGCACATTTCACATACAGTGGTACCTTGGTTCTCAAACTTAATCCATTCCGGGAGTCCGTTCCAAAACCAAGGCACGCTTTCCCATAGAAAGTAGTGCAAAATGAATTAATCCATTCCAGACTTCTAAAAACAACCCCTAAAACAGCAATTTAATATGAATTTTACTATCTAACGAGACCATTGATCCATAAAATATAAGCAATAATCAATGTACTGTACTATAAAATAAATAAGACAGTATTGTAGATGATAAAAAGGAAAATTTAATTTTTTTCTTCCCTGCACTGATGATAGTCAGGATGGGGGGCTTTTATCAATTTCCGCAGTCATACAAACAATCAATCAATCAATCAATCAATAGCTGAATTGGGTTCCACACAGTCACAAAAACAAATTAACCGAAAAAGCCTCAAAAACAAAAACACAAAATAAATAGCAAAAACAAAAGCACCAAACTTAATCCGTTCCGGAAGTTTTACTTCCGAAATGTTCGAAAACCAAGGCGCAGCTTCTGATTGGTACAGGTGCCCTGGAAACAATAGCCGACAGCCGCATCGGACGTTCAGCTTCCAAAAATAGTTTGAAAACTGGAACAGTTACTTACCGGTTTTTGGAGTTTGAGAACCAAGATGTTTGAGAACCAAGGTACCACTGTACTTGATCTCAGCTTTACACACTGTGACCAGGGGGACTAGACAGGGGGGTGGGGCAGCCTTGCTTATCAGTGTCCTGGAGACTTGTGAGAACTTCCAGAACCCTTGTGTGACTCAGAGCCCAGTAAGAAAGGTGGAGGACTTAAAAGCTCTTTCCACAAAGGGTTTTCCTACCACAGAAATAGTTTTTTAAGCCCTCTGCCTTGCATTCTGGGCTCTGGGAAGGTTGCTTGACATCCCACATAACCCCTCAGATAACTTGTCCTATTGTAATTAATTTTATTACAACTTAGTACGCTGCTGCCATGACTTCTAACCCTACCCATAGTGATGCCTAAACTCATTGCACCATCGTTAATCCCAGCCATTCAGATTGCTCATTTAAAGGTTGCACCACTAGAAAATTTAAAGGAGAATGCAGCACACTCAAAGATAAATGGGGTTGCATCTACAGCTGAGAGTATACATTGAAAGTAGATGAATAAATGATTAATTTAATTTGGAATATGCAGAAAATATAAAATAAAAATTTAAGGGGGGAAGGAAGTCGAGTTTTGAAATGTTAAAATGATTGTAAAATTATTGAAATGTATAAGATTGAAAATCATAAATAAAAAATATTTTTTTTAAAAAAAGGGATGGTATCTACAGCTCTGTATTCACCTAGGGTCAGTGTACCAAAATTCATCACATCTCCAAGATGGTGGAATGACTTTTGAGCTCCGTTTTAGCAATTGACATAGGTTCTCTGCACTTTAATGGGGATGTGGCTGTGGTGCATGAGGCTTAAGAAAGTTACTTTGGACCAAAAGATGTCAACAGCCAGCATTTTTGCATATTGTTCAATATGTTACAGAATGTTAAACAGAGGCATACTACCAGCTGTATTTTATGTATTCATTATAGGTACACCAAGTTATATATTACAAGAAGCTGAAATAAAAGTTTTTCCACACGAAGTCTGTAATAGTTACGATTGGTATAATGGACAACTATCAAGGAATCAGCTTTGTGCTGGCTCTGAAAGTGGACATGTTGACACTTGCCTGGTAAAATGAAGATAATTCTGTTTCAAAACAAATTGAAGAAACATGTTGTCTTGTTGTTGGTAGCTCAAATATCATTACTGGATGAGGGTAACACCGGTCACAGTACTACCAAAGCAGTTGGAAAATTAATAGAAATAAGTTGCTGTTTCTTCATTTGATGAAATGGTCTCATTGACACATTACAGTAAAATTCAAGCAATACCATAATTTCATGTGCCTAATATTGATTTGAGATTGCATGCGGCATAATTCCAGTTAAGATATAGAACTTGTTACCACTATTTTCTTTTTGGGTCCTTTTTTGGCTCACTGAAATATACTAGTAGCTGAGAAATGAGAGTGGGGACTTTTGAGTTTACTTTAGAAAGAAAAGTGGAGCATACATTTCAAAACATAAAATAAATGAAAGAAGAGCTATGCATAAAAATTCAGGGTATTCACTTATTTCCACTTTGATTCCCTCCAAAACAGAATTTGGCAACAGAGGGTGAGGCAAGAATTGTAATAAAAACATGGCTCTTGTTATGGTAGCTAACATTAAATGGAATATCATGTACAGTACTATTATTGTATGACTAGCTTGATGTCTAGAATTCCTCTCCCCACCTGCCCCAAATGATCACATTTTTAAAGTGGCCTACCTGTTGGTACTCGAGAGTGGGTGGCGCTGTGGTCTAAACCACAGAGCCTAGGGCTTGCCGATCAGAAGGTCAGTGGTTTGAATCCCCATGATGGGGTGAGCTCCCGTTGCTCGGTCCCTGCTCCTGCCAACCTAGCAGTTCGAAAGCACATCAAAGTGCAAGTAGATAAATAGGTACCACTCCGGCGGGAAGGTAAACAGCATTTCCATGCGCTTCTCTTCTTTGCCAGAAGCGGCTTAGTCATGCTGGCCACATGACCTGGAAACTGTATGCCGGCTCCCTGGGCCAGTAAAGCGAGATGAGTGCTGCAACCCTAGAGTCATCCACGACTGGACCTAACGGTCAGGGGTCCCTTTACCTTACCTGTTGGTAGTGCTGTTGATCCACAAAGGAAGATTACCCAATTCATTATTTCCAGACTCATCCTTATTTCCTAGCAATGAGTATTTTCTCTTGATGATTTCTGAGAGGTAAAACTCAAAACGATTGTATCTCAATCCCTCTGCATGTGAAACCTTCCGAATACTGTCAACAACACTTAGATTGTCTTCCTTATTTTTCATTTTCCAGGGAGACAGTGGTGGTCCTCTGATGTGTTATTTGCCAGATGATGACAAGTTTTATCTGGTAGGAATCACCAGCTTTGGTATTGGCTGTGGTCGACCAAAATTACCAGGAATCTATATACATGCAGCTAATTACAGAAGTTGGATAGATTCACGCCTACTTGGCAAAACCTCCATTGTGAGCATTCCATGTGTTCTGATTTTTTCAACTGTGGTGTGGGTAACCATTCATCTTGTTCTGTGAACAGGCAAACTCTGCTTCCATTGCACTTTTAAACTCAATTATTTCCTCCTGCAAATCTTTACCAAAATTCAATATTTAACAGTTACTATGCTTTATAATCTACTTTGAATTGACAAATTCAAAAACAAGTTTTATCTGCAAAGATATAAACCCAGAAACACTGTTCATTTAATTTCCTTTATGAATCGCTTCTCATAAAGCTTCCCAAAGCGATTTCACAATAAAAAATATGTATATACAGACTGGTTTATCCATGCCTCCCCTTGTTATGCTGCTTCCATCATCCTCCTGGAAAAACCCCCCCTGCTCTTTAGTGTTCAATTGGAGCGAGCAGGAATCTGGGTTTCCCCCAGATTGCCATTTGTTCTGATATATCACTAAAGAGCGGGTTTTCCCTTGGAAAGGGGAAAACTCCAGTCAAGCGGGAAACTGCCAGGACTTGTGCTTTCTAGGCACAGCATATGCGGAATTTACATATATGTATATTTTACATTTTTTGATGGGTGGGGTATAAATAATAAAATCATTATTATTATGTACAATTTTAAAAGCTATGGTAGTAAGATCAGTGGTAGCTAATAAATAAGTTGCCTGTGTTTAGGACCAAGCTTTATCAGTACAAGGGGGACTGGTTTGTTGAGTGATACATTATTGTTTCAGTGTTTTATCACACACTGTTGTAATTTATTGTTTAATACTGATGTGAACTGTTCACAAGTGCTTTATCAGCTGCGGAAAAGTGGCATATAAATATTGAAACAAATAGCTCTCATTCTACCATAAGTCCTTCTTCCTAGTGTGCTCTAGTAGTTAAGAGACATGGGTTGAAATCCCCACTTGGTTATGAAGCTCATGGGGTAACCTTGGGCCAGTCACGAAGTCTCATCCTAAACTGTTTCATAGGGTTATTGTGATAATATTGGGGGGGGGGTGACAATGTACACTGCCCTCCATGGGAAAAGTTACACAAAGAGTGCTGTAGAATTACAATACTGTAGTGCTTCAGTTGGCCAGATGCAAAGCCAACCTTCCATGAGTTTTACACCCTGCCCCAAAACACTGTGAGTTGATTCAGAACTAAATGCTTTAAGATACACTTCCCCCTGCCCTTACTGCATAATGGTCATCTATAAGAAGGAATAGTAGGAGGGCACTTGTGTTGCTCTTACACAAGCATTGTCCAGTCCTGACACTGAGGTCCAACTCTGAGGGCCTTCTGGTGGTTCCCTCACTGCAAGAAGGGAGGTTACAGGGAACCAGGCAAGAAGAGGGCCTTCTCAGTAGTGGCACCCACCCTGTGGAAACCCTCCCATCAGATGTCAAGGAAATAAACAACTACTGGTACCTGACCTTTAGAAGACATCTGAAGGCAAATTTTTAATGCCTAATATTTTACCATTTTTATAGCAGGGACAAACCACTGAGCCTCTTGGGCTTGCCAATCAGAAGGTTGGTGGTTCGAATCCCTGCGATGGGGTGAGCTCCCGTTGCTCTGCCAACCTAGCAGTTTGAAAGCACGCCCGTGCAAGTAGATAAATAGGTACCGCTGCGGCAGGAAGATAAACAGCGTTTCCGTGCGCTCTGGTTTCCATCACTATGTCCCGTTGTGGCAGAAGTGGTTTAGTCATGCTGGCCATGACCCGGAAAGCTGTCTGTAAACAAACCCGGCTCCCTCGGCCTTAAAGCCAGATGAGCACTGCACCCCATAGTCCCCTTTGACTGGACTTAACCGTCCAGGGGTCCTTTACCTTACCTTTACAATTTTTTATGTACTGTAAGCTGCCCAGAGTGGCTGGGGAAACACTGCCAGATGGGCGGGGTATAAATAATAAAATCATCATCATCATTAGGCATATCAATCCTTATTTATCAAAATCCCTTTAACTGCTAAAAGAACCCATGCCCCCTCCCGTTGCCTCTCTTAGCCCCGATTACTTTCGTAAAATACGATTTTTTGTAACGGGCTTATGAGCTGCCGTCGCTGTGACATTTCACCAGGCGGTTTTTTGCTTTCCTTACGTCGGGAAGGAAATAATAATAGGAAGAATAATAGGAATAATAGAAATAATAATAGGAAGTTTCGCTTTCGTACGGCTTGGGGAGAGGTCGTCCCCATCCTCCCTCGTTGCCGGCTCTCGGGATTCCCTTATCGATCCCCGACAGGAGACTCCCGCCCCGAGGAGCAAGCGATCCAACCGACGGGCGTAAAGAATGCGCGGAAGCTCCCGCTGCGCGCTTCGCCCCCCCCCCCACCTTCCCCTCCCCCGCGCTAACGTCACTTCGGCCGGAGGAGAAAGTTTCCTCGACGGACGATGCGGCTAAGCCGTCTCAGGGCAGCCGCTGCGCCTCTGCTGGCGCTGCTGCTGGGTCAAGCCGTGACCCTGAACATAACGTCTCTGCTTCCCTCGGAGGGTGAGCCGGGCTTTCCTCGTCCCCCTTGAGCGGTGCGCGGCCCGCCGGAAGCGTTTGGGATCGCTCCGCGTTTAGGATCGCAGGGGCGGAGCTGCGCGTGGAGCGCGCTTTCCCCGAGGAAGGCGGGGAGCGGGAGGGAAGCCGCTTCAAAACCTCCGGTGGGACGGGCGCGGAGCGCGCAACAGGCGGCGCAGCTTCGCCATCGGAGTCGCCGCTGGGGAGGGAAAGATGCGAAGGCATTGGATCCCTCAAATCAAGCGGGCGGTTTCTTTCCTGCAGATCGAGGCCCGTGGATCCGACGTGAGGATCCCTCCCCGTCTCCCGGCAAGCGGCTCGGGGGTTGCATTTGGGTCCTGGAAACGGCCACTGTTTATACTTTTAGATATGTGTGCATTTATGAATATTTATTCTATATTTGAGACCTTAAAATACTTATAGCACTATACCCTGACCATTGATGGTTTATGCCCCCCAAAACTAGTAAGTCTGGAAGGTTGCTGCCTCTTGTTTCAGGAAGACCTACCACCCAGCCAACTTCTTTGTTGCTACCCTTTCTGCTCTGCTGTGAAATCTATTATCTCTGGCTGACACAGAGTTCACAAGGTGTTGTACAAGATTTAAGCACTCTGTTACACATACTGGGAAACAAGTTACCATAAATATCCTAGTTTTGACCTTTTTAGTAATACAAAAACAAAAAAACCAACTTGCAGACCTAACAATCTACTCTGGCATTCCTCACACAATAGTTTTGGCCTTTTTATAACAGAAAAACAAAAACCCAACTTGCAGTTCTAACTAGCCACTCTGGAGTTCCTCACAGGGCCTTGCAGAGCCAGGCAGAGACCCGGGCCAGGTAGATAATGTGCCCCCCCTTTTTTTTTTACCCTGGGGATAAGTGAAGTCTTATAAATAAGTAAGTATATAAATAATTTTCACAAAAGTTATGCTGACAAATAATTTTATTTCAAGGCTTGAACCGTATCTGTATATAAAGACAAAATGGTAAATATAGCTAAATATGCTGATCAAGGCCCCTTTTGGAATCAGAGGCCCGGGCCAAGTGGCCCATATGCCCCCCCCCCCTGTCTGGGCCTGGTTCCTCACACAATGAAGTTTACACGCAAACACACCCCTGTGTTTGGGGTAGGTAGCATAGTTTGGAATAGCTGAAGTATACACATGTTAACCCTTCAAATTATATAATGTATTCATTCCTTTTAATTTGATTGGATCACATCTTGTGTTATTTTATGTTTTTAAAGGGTTTTTTAAAAAACAACAACAACAACAAAACACCCCTCCATCTTGAGCCGCCTAGCGACACTTGCTGGAAAGAAAACATTGGGGGGGGGACAGCATGCCTCATACGGCCATGATGGGTCCTTCCACGGGGACCCAAATGCCACCCCCAGAGCCACTTGCCAGGAGATGGGGGGTGCGAATGCGGAAGGCAAGCTCTGCAGGGTTCCTACATGTGGGTTTCTGCTTCGCGCTCTCATTCCCGCATTTTTGCAGTTCAGATGGGAAGCGAATCGGGAGCAGGGCAGTCACATGTGAAAGCTTTTCCGGGGCGCCTTGCTACTTCCAAATGGGTGCCGCTCACAAGGCCGCTGAAATTTATGCAAAAGAGCCTCCGTTATAGCAGAAATTTGGGCGTGTGGAGGTGCTGGTTCTCACAAATGATGTCTCCGGTTAAGTGGTACCGTGTAGTCCAGAACCTACGCATGGTAATGGGTGCATTTTGCCAAGTTCATACCTTGGGCTTTATATCCATTGGCACAAGAGAGAAACGGGATTTTAAGGAAGTTGTGGAACACCATGACCAAACAATAAGTGGCAGTGAATACAATAAGGCAGCCCTGTTTAGGGAAGCTCTTAATGTTTGATGCATTACGGTATTTTAATATTTTGTTGGAAGCTGCCCAGAGTGGCGGAGGAAACCCAGCCAGATGGGCGAAGTATAAATAAATTATTATTGTTGTTGTTGCTGCTATTATTGTAGTAGTAGTAGTAGTAGTAGTAGTAGTAGTAGTAGTAGTAATGTTCTGACATTCCTTTCATGTGGAAAATAGGCTTTTTAAAATAAACTTTTCTAAAGCAGACTATAATTGCTTGTTGGGTTTTGGGGCCGGGTTGGCATGCTGTTGTGTCATGACTGATGCCTTGGATTTTCTGCAATCAGTTCTCAGCGAAGTAGAGTCAAAGTGGTGGTAGGGAGGAAATAGCACCTCATTGAAGCATGGAGCTTTCAATCGATTGTGTAAACTTAAAACCATAGGCAAAGCCTCCTGGATCAGGCCAGTGACCTATCTAAGCCCAGCAACCTGTCCTCTCTGTGGCCAATCAGATGCCATTGGAAGCAGTCATCAGGAGTTTTGGGGCACAGCGCCGTCAGTGTGCTGATGATTTTCAGCTCTACTTTTCCAGTAAATCTGAGTGAGGAGAGGCCATGCATAATCTGAACCAGTGCCTGCCTGGATGCAGAGGTGGAATATATGATCCCATGAATGAAGGACAATCAACTGAATCATAGCTTTCAAGTGTCCCTTATTTGGCGGGACAGTCCCTTTTCCCAGCGCCATGTCCCGCTGCTGTCCCTTATTGATGAGGCTTCGTTTGGCTGCTGGCTGGGCTTTCTGCCTTTGGCTCGGAAGGGCTCAGAAGTTGAACATACCTGTGCCCGGAAAATCCCTTATTTTGGCTGCTGGTCCCTTATTTTCAAATCTGTAAGTTGACAGCTGTGAACTGAATCCTGAGATACCTGGTGCTAAGAATTGGGGACTCTGCCCATTCTAGATGGGTTTGTACTCCCTCTGAAAGAACAGGCACACAGTTCAGCGGTATTCGTGGAATCATCCTTGTTCACAGGGGCCCAAGTGGCTGGTGTATTTATTGGCCTCTGTGACACATGCATTGGAAGTCTCCCATCTGGACTACTGTAATGTGCTGTATGTGGGGTTTGCAGCTAGTGCAGAGCAGACTACAGCTCGGGTGGTGAGTGGGAACATACCATGCCAGCATTGAGGGATCTTGCAGTGACTGCCTAATAGCCACCAAGCTAATTTTAAGTTCCTGCTTGCCTACATACAAAACCCTATACAGTCATACCTTGGATCTTGAACACCTTGGTACTCGGACGTTTTGGCTCCCAAACACCGCAAACCCAGAAGTGAGTGTTCCAGTTTTCAAACGTTCTTTGGAACCTGAATGTCCAACTGCAGGAGCTTCCAATCAGAAGCCGTGCTTTGGTTTCCGAACGTTTTGGAAGTCGAACGGACTTCTGGAACCGATTCCATTCAAGTTCCAAGGTACGACTGTATAACTCTGGACCAAATTATCTATATATATAAAATGTCCCCTGCATTATATGATCAGCTAATGAAACCTGGTTAGTTTTGTTAAGCTAAAGTTTTGGAGAAAATGAGTGAGACTGAATGGTGGCAGAAGCATAAGTTTAAGTGGCCAGCAGGAGTGGGAGTTGGGTTTTGTTGTCCAATAAGTAAATAAATATTTCCCTCCACAATGCCCAACAGAAATTCATCTGGTCACGGAATTGTTGTGCCATACCGATCCATTCAAAACAACGGTTCTAAGGATCTGCTTTAAATGTATTTGTTGCTGAACGCCTGCTGTATTTTGAGGGACGTATCTCACCACTAGCGTAACTGTCTTTTCATTTCTAGATTGCGGGACAAGGCCTCTGATGGGAGAGATGACAGTATGGAATCGGATTGTGGGTGGACGTGATGCTGAGCCAGGGGCATGGCCATGGCAAGTTAGTCTTCAGGTTTACCGCTTTGGTACAGGATATCACCATGTATGTGGTGGATCCGTGATTAATAACTACTCAGTGCTGACAGCAGCACACTGCATTAAAAAATGGACGTAGGTATATTTCTGTTCTAAATCTTTTTCTTCTTTAGGTGTGAGAAAAGTGTATTCGTTAAAACAACATTAGCTTATTTTTGAAATCTGTATCTACCGCTAGAGAGAGACCTGGAACAAAACATTTCAGTATATCAATAACAGGAGCAACCCTCTTGAGGCAATAGGCCTGTAACATCAATCCAGAGATTAGAGGCAGGGGATAGTTCAGAAATTGGGGGCCCTTTTTCCTTTCACCCCCCCCCCATCCCCACCTGAAATCATTCTCTGCTATGCTTTATAGCAAGGGTGGGGAACCTTTCACAGCCTATGGGCAACCAGAGGCAAAAAGTGGATTGAACAATCAGTGTAATTCATACATTTCTGGAGTTTACAGGTTTCTACACACACACAAATGCTCACAGCCCTCCATCCACCAGGCAGTGAATTCCAGTGCAGACATCCAAACGCTTTGCAAATATCAATACAAGGCATGGAAAACCAGATCTCTGCAGTGGAGTTTATTACCAAAACAAAAGGGCCATCTGGACCCTGCAGTTAAAAGAACTACCACCCAGTCATAAATACCCCCTTCTTGGGCAAGGTGGTGGACAGATATCTACTAGAATGTTTTAGTTTTTCAGATCTGAAAAAGGGGCAAGGAAAGAGCAAGGTCTCTGCTTTCTGTGTACAAAATGAGTTCACATCTGTCTGCAGGAAAATGCCAAGCATTTATTTATGTAGAGCATTTGTACTCTGCTCTTCAGCCAAGAAGCCTCCCAGAGCGGCTTACATGAAATCAAATCAAGACACTCCCTACCTGTAGGCTTACAAACAAAAAAACAAACACACAAGGGGAAAGGGAGGAGGAGGGAAGAGGAGAACAAAACTCAAGCACCGATTTCTAGACAGTTTCTATATTTCTGTATTGACCAGCCAGCATAGTTCAGAGGCTGGAGGTGCCTGATGGAACTGGGCCGCCAGCAAAGCAGATGCAATGAAACCAGCTTCCTGAATGATTCATTTATGGATCCAATTGGAGACATTTTATACTGCAAAAGAATAACTTCAGTAGTTACTTCCTTATCTCTTATGTACAGCATATTTTAATAGCACATTAAAAGGGGACCTCTGACCATTCGGTCCAGTCGTGGACAACTCTGGGGTTGCGGCGTTCATCTCGCTTTATGGGCCGAGGGAGCCAGGATACAGCTTCCGGGTTTTGTGGCCAGCATGACTAAGCTGCTTCTGGCAAACCAGAGCAGTGCACGGAAACACCGTTTACCTTCCCGCCAGAGCAGTACCTATTTATCTACTTGCACTTTGACGTGCTTTCGAACTGCTAGGTTGGCAGGAGCAGGGACCGAGCAACGGGAGCTCACCCCATTGTGGGGATTCGAACCGCTAACCTTCTGATCAGCAAGCCCTAGGCTCTGGTTTAGACCACAGCGCCACCTGCGTCCCATTACTTCTTCCCAAAATCATGGGAACCATAGTTTGCCTCCTCACTGTCCCAGTACCCTAAACAAACTACAGTCCCCAGGATTATTGGGGGGGGGGGAGAGTCGTGTGCTTTAAGAGTGCAATGAATGTTACTTAAATGTGGTGTGGCTCTGTTTACTGCAGATAATCATACTTTTCAACTCAGTTTCTTGCAGGTGTCTCTGGTGCAACTGGTTAGTGCATTTGACTGTTAACCAAAGGTGTATTTGACTTTTCAACTCCAAACAGGGATAGTTTGAAGGTCGGCAGTTCGAATCAGCACAACGGGGTGAGCTCCTGCCCCAGCTCCTGCCAACCTAATAGTTCAAAAGCACGCCAGTGCAAGTAGATAAATAGGTACCACTGTGGCAGGAAGGTACGGTAAATGGCATTTTCGTGTGCTCTGGCTTCTGTCACGGTGTTCTGTTACGCCAAAAGTGGTTTAGTCATGCTGGCCACATGAACTGGAAAGCTGTCTGCAGACAAAGGCCGGCTCCCTTGGCCTGAAGCAAGATGAGCGCCGCAACCCGATAGTCCCCTTTGACGGGACTTGACAGTCCAGGGGTCATTTACCTTTACCTTTATGTTAGCTCAATAAAACTATGATTTAGCCAGAAGTATTTATAATTGCATCTGGAGATAAAATAATCAGCATTGAAGAACAGTAAGTGTAGTTGCACTGTGATAAAGAAGTCGCATTAAGAGGTGGTAATTATATTGAGAATACATGCCCACATTCATGATGGAGACGCAGACAAATATTTTTGCACAAGATCTCCATTATTAAGGTATAAAACAAACAAACGGAAATAGATGTTGCTCACACACAAATCACAAGCCTGTTGTGAAGGTGGTAGTGTTTGCATTTGCAGCCTTCCACACTTCTGAACGTTTTTTTACAAGGCAATACAGTAAAAATGTAGTGGAGGACAGAGAAAGAGTGGTTGGGGTGAGGAACAATATAAAATCCAGAATATTTTTCATCAGCATCTGCCTACTGATGTGGACAGTAAGCAGTGGAACAGCAACAAATATGATGACTGAAAAAGGTATGTGGGTGTCTTATGAACCAATCACATGTGCAGAAAAATCATTTCTGAACCACCCGTTTGTAAGAAAATTCCTGTATGTGGACATGATAAAGGGATTTTATTCTCTCCTAGGGATCCAGCATTTTGGAGGGTTGTATTTGGCTTGCACCATCTTTATAACTATGAATCTTCTACCGTAAAGCGCCATGTCAGAGCTATCGTGATGCATTCTGGTTTCAAGAGAAGCACGTACGAAAATGATGTTGCCTTGTTTAAACTAAAAAGGCCTATCAGCTACAGTGATTATATTCAGCCTATCTGCTTACCTAACAGCACTACTCAACTAGTGGCAGATGAAAACCCATGTTTCATAAGTGGATGGGGAAACACAGAGGAGAAGGGTAAATATCTTATGTGTCCTTTAATCTGTGTTAAAAATCAGTTTGGTGATCTAATTGAGATTGGTGATCTCAGGAAGAATCTTTGCAGTGAGTTGTATTCAATGCTAGCCCTTCTCAGAGTAGCATTAGATTCACTCCAGTGAGGACATTCAGGATTGTTTTGCACAATGCACAGAAAGAAAACTGAGTTTGCTGTAGCATGTACGGAGGATTCCTTGTACCTGTCAAAGTGCTCTCTCTCTCTCTCTCTCTCTGTGTGTGTGTGTGTGTGTGTGTTTGTTGCATTCAGACTGTGTGGTTTTAAATGTACTCTTAAAATGCTTTTTAAAAATTATTAATCTTCTGTGGAATACTTCACAAGGGATGTGTGGCACAGTTCATGAGTTTTATCATTGTCCTGTCCCAAGAGCTGCTATACCTAGCAATTTTATATTACAAGGCGCTAAATAAACACAAGCATACTTCTAACAGTGTTTTGTGTTCATTACAGGTACAGGAAAATTTATATTACAAGAAGCTCAAGTTGACGTTATTCCACTATATATCTGCAATAGATATGACTGGTATGCAGGCGTAGTATCGTGGAATATGCTTTGTGCTGGTTCTGAAACTGGACATGTGGATAGCTGCCAGGTAAAAAGGAAATATTTCTATTTTAAAACATATTGTCAAAAATATATTAGCATGTCATTTTTTACCAGCTTCCCATCTCCTTGTCTGCATGTGTACGCAAACTAGCAGTTATGCTTGCACTCACAGAAATGTGGTTTTGGGACTCTTTAATCTTTTGAAACAGCAGGAGAAAATGGAGTATGAAGAAAAGGAAGATTTAACTGAATAGATGGATGAAAAGAGCTTGTCAGTTGTTAATATCTGTCCTATGTCCGAGCCCTGAAAGCTGAAGGGTGCATGCATGTGTGTTTTTCTGATTTGTGTAAATAAAAATGGTTTGCTTTAAACATCTCTGTCCATACCTGTATCAGACAGCAACATGGCAAAGCAACATGGCAGAGCATGATTATCGATTCAGGCTTTCCCAACTGATCCATATTTCCTAGAAAACTGTATTTTGTTTTGCCTGTTCATGAGATGCAAATTAAAACTTATTGTTTTTCATGTTCCAGGGGGACAGTGGAGGACCTCTGATGTGTTACTTTCCAGATTACACCAAGTTTTATCTGATAGGAATCACCAGTTTTGGTATTGGCTGTGGTCGACCCAAACTTCCTGGAATCTATATACGTGCAAAAAATTATCGGCCATGGATAGATAGAGCAGTCACAATATTCAGCAGAACTTCTACTATGAGCTTTCAACACATTCTAATGTTTTTGACCGTTGGATTGGTAACCTTCCATCTTGTTCTATGAAAAGTCCTGTTCTTTTGGAATTTTATACTTTTCCTTTTAAAACGTATTCATTCCTCTTGCAAGCAAGTATATGGAGCCATTTGTTTTTATAATAATGAATGCTTTGTTTAACCTTCTCCAAAATGAATGGAAAAATCCTTCATTAAAAGCGTCAATCCAAAAGGCATTGTTCAGTTACATTTATGTTTGGGGGCTGTAAGTCATATTGTGATTGTACTGATAGGCTGCAATATGAAAAAAGAGCATGGTTTCAAAAACATGAAGAAAATTCTAATTTAATATGTGAAATAAATGCTTTAATTATTCATAGAAGCTTAATTTACAAAATTCAAATGATCCTATCCCAAATATATATTTCCATATTCTATAAGAAATGTACATGATAGATGCCTACCATTGCCATGCTTTTCTGTATCATTCAAAAAATAAAACATAATATACAGTTGAATACAGGCATATTTGAAATTCTAGGGTAATATTTTTTAGTCCTTATCCCCCAAAAGAGAATCTACAAATGAGAATTTTGCCTATAAGTAGTTCCATGTTTTAGGGATGCGGGTGGTGCTGTGGGTTAAACCACAGAGCCTAGGACTTGCCGATCAGAAGGTTGGCAGTTCAAATCCCTGTGACGGTGTGAGCTCCCGTTGCTCGGTCCCTGCTCCTGCCAACCTAGCAGTTCAAAAGCACATCAAAGTGCAAGTAGATAAATAGGTACCGCTCCTGCGGGAAGGTAAACGGTGTTTCTGTGTGCTGCTCTGGTTTTGCCAGAAGCGGCTTAGTCATGCTGGCCACATAACCCAGAAGCTGTACACTGGCTCCCTCGGCCAATAAAGCGAGATGAGCGCCGCAACCCCAGTCGGTGACAACTGGACCTAATGGTCAGGGGTCCCTTTACTTTTACCCTTAGTTCCATGTTTATTGTTATTAATTGCTTTCTGCAACTTCTCCTACAGCAAAGCAAAATATTTAATGATTTGGTGTTAAATTAAATGGGTTTGGGGGTCCTCTGCAATCCTGTAATTTCATAGTGGCAAGATTGTATTCTGCAGAAGCTATTACTAAAATGGTCAAGCCAGTTTCTTCATTAAGTACCAGTAAATACCTAGCCAGGTCTGTTAAGTATATACATACTTATTTACACTTGCGCCAAGATGTTGCAATTGGAACTACTGCTCCTGGAAGGCAAGCTGTAGGGGAAAGACCTCTACTGTAGTTGCAGATTAACTCAGCAAGGTCCGAGTGCAAAAAGCAATATGATAGTCTTATCTGTGCTTTGGATGGCAGTGTTAAAACCTGAGACATGAAAGCTAGGAGCTAAAGGGCACCTTCAACCTAGGTTACGGGCGCAACAACGGAATGTCTAGGCGCGCTTTTTTAATCACAAGAATACAAAGCTGAAAATGAATGAACTGCAGCTAAAACATTATGTTCATTTTTCACATGGTCTAGTCCAGTGTTTCCCAACCGGTGTTCCGCGGCACACTACTGTGCCGCGAGACGTTGCCTGGTGTGCCGTGGGAGGGAGGCGGGCGAGTCGCACGGCGTCTCGGCGTCGGGCGGCAGCGAGCCCAGGAAGCGGCCCAGCCGGCCGGGGTCGCCCGCCTGCAGCAGCGCCTCGCACCCGCACGAGACCTGCTCCACCGAGAAGCGGGCGAGCGCGGAGGATCGGGCGTGGCGGAGGCCAGCCCCGCGCTTGGAGAGGACGCAGCAGCCGTCGCCAAACCCGATCCTCCTCCTCCTGCTCCGCCGCCGTCCTCTGGCTCTCGGCCGGGAGGAGCCTGCGGCGACGGGGCGGGCGCCGAAGTTGGCAGAAGTTGGCGCGCCTCCTCGGCAGCGCCTTCGTCCTCCTCCTCCTGCCTCTGCTCTCCTCTGGCGGCGGGGGCGCGCCGCCCTCCCCGGCCGGGGGGCTCGGCAGGGCCCGCGGGGAAGGAGGCCATGTTCGCGGCGCGCGGGATCGCGGCCCCCCTCGCCCGCCTCCGGCCCGCTCCCCTCCCCCTGCGCGCTGCCCTAGCCATGCGGGTCTCCTCCCCCTGCGCCGCCGTCCCCTTTCCACATCCTAGGAGCCGCGGTCCGCCTACCGCCCCCGGGCCGCGGCGCAGCTCCCAGCCCGGGCTGGCCTCCGCCTCCTGGGACGCGCGCCCACCCCCGCGGCCCCCCAAACTTCGGAGCAACTCTCCAGACGCTTCTCCCCCGCCTCGGTCTCCCTCCTTTCCACTTCTCTTCCCCCCTTCCTTCCCTCTTTCTTTCTCTTTCTCTCCCACCCGCCTTTCCTTCTATTAACTTTCCTTTCCCCTCCCTTCGTCCTTCCTACTTTTACTCCTGGGCTCCTCCCCCCTTTGCGCAGCCACAAATCAATCTCTCTCTCTTTTTTCCCCTCTCTCTCTTCTTTGCTCAGACGCAAAAAAGCGCCGCTTTTTGGAAATCCGGACTGCTGTCCCCGCTGAAACGATACTTTAAAAAAGGAAGAACCCACTGGCTCTTATTTCTGTTTAAAGCAGTAGATCCCGAACTCTTTTGGCCCACTGCCCCCTTGGTTCCACATCCCCCAGTGTCCCCTATGCTTACTCTATAGAAAACATTACAGGGGTTAACGCGGCTCGCTAAGGAAGATATTAATAGAATTCTGCATTTGGGGGGAGACCCTAACAGTCATCTACCATTACCTTCTATGCTGTTACTATTTTTTTTTTTTTTTTTTTTTACATAAGTAAAAAGTGACCTTTCCCCATCTGGCATGGTGGTGTGCCTCGAGATTTTTTTCATGACACAAGTGTGCCTTTGCCCAAAAAAGGTTGGGAAACACTGGTCTAGTCCTTCTCCTGCCCACCCCCCACATATTCTTAAGAGGGTCTCTTCTCTGGTCTTCAGAGAGTGGCTGGAAGTGGGGAAGCCGAAACAGCTCTTCCTTTTCTTCCACTCTGCAGTTTTAATTGCTCTAATGAGATTCCCTGCCGCAAAATGCTCCTAGGAAAATGGGGGGGGGGGCAGACCCCTCGGCCCCTAGGAGTTGGCTCCTATGCAGGGCTGGATTTAGTTTTGATGAGCCCCTAAGCTACTGAAGGTAATGGGGCCCTTTATATGTCCAGCTGTCCTTTGTTGTCAACAACAAATTGTCACTTTTTTGTGTTGAATATATGCTATGTGGTAATTTATGGACCTATTAGGTATCTAAAGCCATTTTTCACATAACAAAGTATGTATTTTATCAAGGTAATTGTTGAACTGAAATACAATCAAGAAGTATACATTCAGCTGTGCTACACTGCAGTCTGCAGCTGCATGCTACATGTTGCCATGCAACCATTCCATGCAGAATGTAGGCACCCTATACTGTACAGTGGTACCTCGGGTTATGTACTTAATTCGTTCCCGAGGTCCGTTCTTAACCTGAAACTGTTCTTAACCTGAAGCACCACTTTAGCTAATGGGGCCTCCCACTGCTGCTGCCGCGCCGCCGGAGCACGATTTCTGTTCTCATCCTGAAGCAAAGTTCTTAACCCGAGGTACTATTTCTGGGTGAGCGGAGTCTGTAAACCTGAAGCGTATGTAACCTGAGGAACCACTGCATATAGAAATGAGCAGACTAGTGATATTTAGGGAGCAGGCTAGCTGACGGGGCCCATTACTTACATCATAGAATGTAAGTAGGACACAACACAAAACACTGTTGCTGTATGTAGGTTTTATTTTATTAGTTTTTTATCTTATATTTTGGAAATGTAAGCTATAGCTTGTTTAGCTTACAGGTAAATCCGGCACTGCTCCTAAGGCCTTAACCTATGTTAACAGGTATGTCTCGGGTCAGCCTCTTGAGGAACCGTAATCCGGTTACCTCCAACCCCGTTCTTTCTTGAGAGCACCGCCTCGGCTCCTTTAATGATCTCCCCTCGAGAACCAGAACCCTGCGAGACGTGTGTGTATGTGTTCGGTGTTTGTGCGGGGGAAAGCAGCAAAAGGTTCTGTCAGAACGAGCGAAGGAACTCCGCGCCATCTTCGCTCCACTTCCCTCCCTCGCGCGGCCGCCGCCGCAACGTTATTCCCGCCAAGGGAGCGGGGGGGGGGGCGGCCGCCATTTTGTTTCGCCGACGGACAATGCTGCGAAAGCTCCGCCGGGCAGCCACGGCCTCTCTGCTGGCGCTCCTGGGGCTGCTCAACACGCCCAGAAACGTCACGTCTCTCTTGTCCATGGAGGGTGAGCCCGGGCTTTCTCTCCCTCCGGCCGCCCTTTCCACGTTCTCCGCGCGCTGCGCTCGAGCCGCCAAAAAAGACAGGGGGTGGAACTGCGCGTGCGCGTGGGAGGCAGCGAAGGAAGGAGGGGCGGGGATTTCCTCGGAAAGTCCCTGAGACGACTGGGATTTGCTCCCAAATCGAGCGGGCGGGCGAGGCCTGTGGATCCGCCGTGAGGAGGATCTGGCGGCGGCATTGGGGTCCCCGTGGAAAGACCCATCGCGGCCTCAGGAACCGGAGAAATGTGATTGTTATCCCCAACCCCAACAAATGTTCTCTTTCCAGCAAGCTGTCGCTGGGCGGCTCGAAACGGAGGGGCGTTGTTGTTGTTGTTGGTGGTGGTGTTTTTATATTATTATGGTGGTGGTGTTTTTATATTATTATTATTATTATTATTATTATTATTATTATTATTATTATTATTATTATTATTATTAGCATCACCAACATCATCATCATAAAAACCATAAAATAATACCTCTCGGGCTCCCATCTCCTTAAAAGGGATGTTGTTGTTTAGTCGTTTAGTCGTGTCCGACTCTTCGTGACCCCCTGGACCAGAGCACGCCAGGCACCTCTGTCCTCCACTACCTCCCGCAGTTTGGTCAAACTCATGCTGGTAACCTCAAAAACGCTATCCAACCATCTCGTCCTCTGTCGCCCCCTTCTCCAAAAAGGGATACATCTCTTCTTAAAAGGGATACATTATATCTAAAACAACTGGAAAGGTTAAAATGTGTATACTTCAAGCATTCCAAATTATGTTATCCACCCCACAGGAAGGTGCTTGCGTGTAAACTTTATTGCGTGAGGAACTCCAGGGTGGCTAGTGAGGTCTGCAGGTTGGGTTTCTGCTTCTGTTTTTGTAGTATAAAATGGCCAGAACTATTATGTGAGGAACTCCAGAGTGGATTGTTACCGTAGGTCTGCAAGTTGGTTTGTTTTTGTTTGTTTTTGTATTATTAAAAAGGTCAAAACTAGGATATTTATGGCAACTTGTTTCCCAGTATGTGTAACATACTGGGAATGTTAAATCCTGTTCAACACCTTGTGAAATCTGTGTCACCCAGAGATAATAGATTTCACAGCAGAGTAGAAAGAGTAGCAACAAAGAAGTTGGCTGGGTGGTAGAAGGTCTGCCAGAAAAAAGAGGCAGCAACCTTCGAGGCTGATTTGTTTTGGGGGGCATAAACCTTCAATGTTCAGTGTGTAGTTCAATCAGATTTGGGAAAGCAGGGTATAAATAATAAATAATTATTATTACTTGGAAATTGAAGTCCCCTCCTTCCTAAAGTGCTTCCATGGAGCATGCTATTGCTTAATAGACACAGTGACGCAAGTAGGCAGTGGAGCATTTGCTTCCGAGTTAAAATAGTGCTCTAGATTTGGCAGCTCATGAGTGGCATTCATTCTTTAGGCTTCATCCCTCTGCAACGTTAGCTTGGAGTAAGCCCTACTGAAGCATGGAACATTGGCTTCTTGTGAACCATGTCCCAGAGAGTAGCTGTGTTAGTCTCTTCCAGCAGCAAGGACAACGGATCTTGTGGCAGCTTTTAAAAAAAACACCTTTATTGTGGCAGAAACTTTCACGGACTAAAAATCACTTCAATGGATGCATGGAGTGTTATGAGGGGCAGAAGGAAGGGTAGAATTTTAATAATAATAATAATAATAATAATAATAATAATAATAATAATGGCATTTAAAGATTATTTAGAAAATCTGGAAGGGCCAGTAGTTATGGTTAAGACCAGGCATCCCCAAACTCGGTCCTCCAGATGTTTTGGGACTATAACTCCCATCATCCCTAGCTAACAGGACCAGTGGTCAGGGATGATGGGAATTGTAGTCCCAAAACGTCTGGAGGGCTGAGTTTGGGGATGCCTGTAAGACCATCATCCTTTGTGGACTAACCTCCAATCTTCAGAGTTTGGGTGAACATGTTGGCAAACCCTTTGCTCTAGTAGTGATGTTAATTGATGCCAGATCAGTTCAAATAAGTCATCTGTTTTCCATGGGGGTGCCCAAGGTGACATATATTACTGAGACCCAGGTGGGTTAGCTGAGCAGACCATATTTATCCTAGCTTTGTCCCCCAGGGTACTTGGTTCAGAACCAAGGGTCAGACGCGAGGGGAGAGATGCTGCTGACCATGAAAATTCCATTGTCCTCACCAGGAAGCCAGTGTGTTCTGTAACTGATAAGAGGGTTTGTTCCTGGATTTGGGCCCTTGAGATAGAATAAGATACTATTGATGTACTGCCCATCCCGCTGCCCAGCAGTCTTTTTAGCTGAGGTGGTCTCAGAGGTCATGTTGGAGAACATTTCACTGTTGCGTTGGAAGACTTCAGTGTCCATGCTGAAGCTGCATTTACTGGGCCCACGGAGGATTTCATGACCTCCATGACAACCATGGGGTTTCTCAGTACATCAAGGTTCAACTCATGTTGTGGGGCATACCCCAGATCTGATTTTTGCGACAGAAGGTATTGTGGATTTGTGGTGAATTGTTTATCATGGATGAATACTTTTTTGGTGTGCTTTGGACTGGTAGCAGCAAGATCCCCCTGTAAGGGTGGGGGTTAAGATGGTCCACCCCTGAAGACTTATGGAATCCAAAGGATTCCTGAATGCTTCGTGGGATTTTCTGACTCACATGGTTAGTGCTGCTGTTGAAGCCCTGGTTGGCCACAGGTTTTCATAGTCTGGTTATTTCCAAGTAGGGCTATTGTAATGTGCCCTACATGCCTTTGAAAATGGTCTGGAAGTTGCAACTGGTACAGAATGCTGATGCCAGAGTTCTAGCTGAATGCCGCAGGGTATCCTCTAACATAGATTCTGAAACAATTGCACTGCTTGTCTATTGTCTTCCAGGCCTAATTTAGGCTGTACAAATTTAAAAGTTAACCTGAATGCCCTAGGCTCCAAGTATCTGAAAGTGTGCCTCCTCCCATAGTGACCTGCATGAATTTTAAAATCTACGTGGGAAGCCCTGAGGCTTATGGAATAGGGGTCTGTGGACCATCTTTCTCTGCAGTGGCTGCTCTTCTTTGAAACAGTCTCTCCTTTAGTAGTGCTATGGAACCTTTGAAATTATATTGTTGCTGATGGTTTCATTTGTTACTGAGTTCCGTATATTGTTTTAGAGTGTTTCAGTTTCAATTTTTAACTTTTGGTTTGGATTGTGTGTATTTCCAACCTAGGACCTTTGGGTAATAACATAAAAAATTACGACACAGTCCAGTCATTGTTCATAGTGTTTCATCATCTGAAGCATGTGTCAAAATTCTGGTGGGCTCCGCAATGTCGGAGTGGGCATTTGATGGCCCTAGACACCTTGCCATTCCACAGTGAGACCAGGACCTCAACAGGGGTGTCAGACATGCCAATCAGAAAATCCCATACAGCAGGGGACCCCACAATGTGGCCAATGGACCATGAATGATAGGAGCACTGTCTGTGAACAATGGGTGCAAAGACTGCTTCATCATTCTTAGAACCCAGTGATCCAGTCTGGCCACAAGGTGAGCAGGAAGTGGACCAGAAGTAATGGGAAGAAGACACTTGGAAAGGGTTCTAAGGAATACAAATTGTAATACAATACAATGAAGTACAGTATATGAGAAAAGAAGCAATGAAAGTGCAGTTAAAAATCATACAGCATTTAGCAAATTGCATCACATTTACAACAACAGGCAGAAAACGTAAGTGGTCCACTAAGACCTTCAGCAACTTTCAAGTGGTCTGGGGTGAGAGGTTTGGGAACCAGTGCCCTAAAGAATTCCTTATCATCTGTACATTTCTTAACCTGCCCCTCACCTTTACAGGGGGGAACCATCACTGCTAGACCTAACTCACCAAGAAATGGTGTCTATCTTTATTATTTATTTAAGACATTTATATTATACCACTTAATTATTTGCATTTCTAAATGGTATATATAAAGACCAGCCACAGAAAATAGGTCCAGAGGGTGGGTGCATAACAAAGGTGCTAACACCTCCAACCACAGAGTCAAAACCACTCTGTGGCAAAAACCAGATTGGGATCCACAACGTGTGTCAGAGGGGTAAGTGATTCAAAAGTTTGCAGTCTTGCATAAACTCTCCCATTGGTCCAGAGACAGAAGCACTACAGCAAACTGGTCGGTTTATAACAATGATCCTTTAGATCTACTTTTAAGTTTGTTTTGGTCGATGGATTGGTGTGTATTAACAGAACATTTACATTCATGGCATCTCATCAGTATATCTGTTTTTTGATTTCTAGACTGCGGAACAAGGCCTCTTATGGATGAGAAAAAAACAGAGTCTCGGATTATAGGTGGACATGATGCCATGGTTGGATCTTGGCCATGGCAAGTTAGCCTTCAGCATTATACCATTGGCCTAGGATATTTCCATCTGTGTGGTGGAAGCTTAATTACAAACAACACGGTGTTGACAGCAGCACACTGCGTTAAAAAAAATAGGCATGTATCTATTCTAAAGTGTGAGAAAGGTGTACTGATTTTTTTTTAAGCACTTGGTGAATATTCAGAATTCATGGGAGTGGGGACATATTTCAAGGAGGAGTGGGAGAGGAAATGAGACACTGGGACTTCAGGAATACATTTCTCCTCTCATCCTCCCCAAATCTTTTCCCACCCAACAACACAGCAGTAAATGACTGGATGTTTCCTTTTTAATACTATATAGTTTGGTAGTTAAAACAGTGTGACAGAGTAGATTTTTCATCTCCTGGTGCTCTTCCCCTCTGCTCCCCTTGGCACTTATCAGAAGCCTCTCAGGTCTGAAAGATGAAGAGGGAAATGGAAGCAGGGGAAGAATTATGAGATTATTTCAGTTGTGTGCACTTCTCCTTTATTACAATAGGGTTACAGTTTCGAGCATAAGTTCATGTTTCAAGAAACTCATTACACGGAATACAATCTAATCTATTTTAGAGTACGCAAGTACGGAGGGCACTAATGTCCTCCCATTTCCAAATTACGGTATGCCCAGGTGTTTTTTTCCCTACTTTGGCAGCAGGCATACATGCTGATTCCACAAAGTGTTGATGCAACTGCACTCAAGCTTCAAAATATGCTTGTCATGCAGCATGGGTTATCAGCTACTCTTTTGTAGCTGACACATGCCCAAAATCTTGGTGTAGAATTATTTTTTGCAGTTCTTCGGCTTCTAACCTTAGTATTTGTAACTCTGTGGGGAGTCATCATTATTCTTACTCTGGTTTTCAGGGGTGGAGATTTTCTTTAATTCTAAATATATAGGTTAGAATTCAACATCACAGAGATTTGACTGAAGTATTTCTGCATGTGGGAAGGAGCAATATCCCATATCCTCTTCCCACATGCTGTTCTGGAGATTTTTCTGAGCTTCCAGACTGGGAGGAGCTCCCTTACACTTACATTTTTGCACTGGCTTCCGCTAGTGCTCCGAGTTAGTTGAATCCAACTTGTAGCTTCCATTTTTATTTTATTTATATACTATCTTCTATTTAGATAATTTCATTATGGTTCACAGTAGAGTTATTAAGACCAATACATTAAAGCAATAAATAACAGCAGCGCCCAAAAAACCAAACAAAAACAGAGCTAGCTAATACAAATGATCGGAGAGAACCATTTTTCAACAAGCCCCATGAGCACATCTCTATTTGTGCTTGTCTTATTTCAGAGCTGTGTTGAGTCCATAGGGTCAATGGCACAACAGAAAAAAAAAATCCCATACTTAAAGCAAGATGGACCTTAGCAGATGACAGTTTGGCTAGGAAGGTCTTGCCTGCAGATCTCGGTGACCTGGAGATTCACATCGGAGAAGGGATAATTGTTATCATAAGACCAGTCCAGAGGCAGAGACAGGCAGACAACTTATAAAGTTGCTGTGCTTATTGATAAGTCCATCATGATAAGATTTTGGGGGAGTTGTGTGCAAATGGAATTATTGGGGCATGTTTCAAGGTTGCTTTGATCAATGTGAGGCCCATCAGTTTAGATGACTTTAAAAGTGCATGAGACAAATTTATGGAGGATATGTCTATCAATTGTGAATAGTCATACTGAGCATGGCTCATGCTGCTTCCAGATGCAGAGGCACTATACCTGAGTACCAATTGCTGAGCAGCAACTGTAGGTTCTGCTTGTGAGCTTCCTACAGGCAACCATCTGATTGGCTGTTATAGGGCATGATTTGGTTTGATCTAGCAGGATTCCTCTTATGCATATATGCTTTTACTGGTTATATTACTATTATTGCAGAAACCTTTGTCATTCCCTCACCATTTGACTCTGGCTCCATGGTTGATAGTTTTACACCAGGCTTGAAGTAACTATTCTAAAATAGTTACTGACTCTGTTTTTGATTTTATTCTGTCCTAGGAACGCAGCCTTTTGGAGGGCTGTCATCGCCGTGCATCATCTTCATGCACACAACTATTATACTCGAAAGCGCCGGGTCAGTACAATCACGGTCCATTCTGATTATGATTCAGAAAGCTATGAAAATGATATTGCCTTGTTTACGCTAATAAAACATGTAAAATATAATAATTATATTCAGCCCGTCTGCATACCTGAAAATGATACTATTGACATGTACCCATGTTACATAGCTGGCTGGGGAAACACAAAGGAGAAAGGTAAATCTTCTACTTTTCCTTTAAACTAAACTATTGTTAAGAGTGAGAATTAGTTATTTCAAAAAGCTTCTTTGCAATTTGATGGTGTATTACACAAAGGTAAACCTGGGTTTGGTTTGCCCGTTAGTGTACACAAGGAATTTCTGATAGTCGTGATGATTAATTTGGTTTTCGTACCCTTTCTTTATATTTTTTAATGTACAATTAAAGTTTTTAAATATTTAATGTAATTGTGAAATGTTTCTTGCTCATCACCTTTCCTGGGCACTGAACTGTAAAACAGGTGTTCAGGAAGTGTTATCAATATTAGCAGCCCTAACCCTGAGTCAGTTTTTCTGTCAGCAGTAATGATGCAAAATTTTAATCTTGTGTGCAGAATATTTACTAGCTAACCATAAGCAAACTGGGCAGATTTCTTCAGAGGTATTTGCTCTTTTAATCCAGAAAAGGGAGTGTCATTTGTTGAGTCTATAAATTCTTTAGCTGTGTTTATGTTTTTAAACTCTATACAGTGGTACCTCGGGTTAAGTACTTAATTCGTTCCGGAGGTCCGTTCTTAACCTGAAACTGTTCTTAACCTGAAGCACCACTTTAGCTAATGGGGCCTCCTGCTGCTGCCGCGCCGCCGGAGCACAATTTCTGTTCTCATCCTGAAGCAAAGTTCTTAACCCGAGGTACTATTTCTGGGTTAGCGGAGTCTGTAACCTGAAGCGTATGTAACCCGAGGTACCACTGTATTAATCAAGATAAAAATATTTAACAGCTTATAACCAAGGTCAGAAAACACAAAATAAAAATTCACTCTGTGAGCATCAAATTTCTGCACTAAGAAAAGCTGGATTCTGCAAGGTCTGCAGACACACCCTACAGATTTTGCTGAACTGCAACTCCCATTGGCCCTAGCCAGGATGGCCAGTGGCAGGGGAGGATGGGAGTTGTAGTTCATCATCTGGCTGGCCAAAGGTTCTTTGTATATGATCTATTGCTTAGGCAAAATATTTGTCATGCTTTCTGCACTTATCATATGAGGGCAGTATATGTACTTGTGCCTTGAACCTGCCATGTATTTGTCTCTATCATACTTTTCAGAAATACGGTAAGCACTCAGAAAGTCACGTCTCTGCTTTTTCAAAACTTGCCTGAGATTTGTGCACTTGAGAAAACTATACTTTAATTTTTAAGGTATTTGATCTAGTCTACAAAGCATATATCTTTTGTTATGACTCATAGCTGATGCAGGCATACCGAATTGGGCATAGCTGATGCAGGCATACCGAATTGGGTAAGCCACTGGGCTATATTTAAATGTATTAACCAAACCCGGCAGACACTTATGTACTGATAACCTAATGCACTTTATTTCAATTCAACCTTGCTGGATGGGGAACACTGAAGGGCTGGCTTTAATTAATTAATACCTCAAACCTTGAACCAATAACAAACAAGTTCAATAACACCTGAAATCATAGAATAATTAAGAAGAAAACAAAATACTGTAATTAAAACATAGGCACCCAAATCTCAATGTTGAGCATACACAGCTCCATATATACCTGGGGCCTGCGATGGCTAGCAAACATAATTCATTACAAGTTCAGTAAGGATTTGTGAGCCTTATTCTGAAAACGAAGGTAGGTTTCATAGGCCTACTTGGGAAATACAAACCTGGTTTATTAAGTTTAAGAGTTAGACTAGCTTAAGCGGTTACCCAGCCACGTTGCATACCTGAGAACCTTGTTTCAGAATGTTAAATGCATTCTTCCAGCCGTTTTTTGTGCTTTCCTTTCAGGTGTTGGCAAATTAATATTACAAGAAGCTCAGGTAGACGTTTTTCCGCTGAGATTATGCAATAGATATGACTCGTATGCAGGGAGATTAACAGAAAACATGGTTTGTGCTGGCTCTCTGACTGGACGTGTTGATAGCTGCCAGGTAAAATGGAGAATATACAATAAGTAGTCAAAACATTCTGTCATGTAGTTGCTTGACTAATATATCAAAGCAATATATCAAAGTCGCTGGTAAATGAATCATTTTTATTTTAAGACATATTGCCAAAACATGCTGTCATACAATTATTTGTCCAGGCTACTCACTGCTGTGTCAAAGTAGCACCAAAGTAGTTAATACATTTTGGAGGGAAATTAGTTGCTGTGAGAAAATGGGACATGAGAAACATCACAATAAAATTCAAGGAGCGACATAACTTCACCTTGTAAATCAGCACGATCAGTTCTTTCTAAAAGCACATAATTTGCGTGAGGCACAGTACAAAAACACAGCACATGAGTTCCTGACTGCAAATTCACAACTGAAGAAAGAAAAATAAATACAAAAGCAGAGGGGAATTGGAGGAAAAAGGGAATGTTCTTTCCTAATATGGATTCGAAGGATTATATAAATAAAGAAACCATCATCCTTGTTGAGGTTTAAAACATATCACGTTGTGAATACTAATATTAAAATAATGATGATGCAGTAATAATGTCATTTCTTTTATGAATATCTTCCCATGAAACATCCCAAAATTATTTAATGTCAACAATTGAAAAACTTCAACTTTAAAAGCATATTTAAACATATATAAAAACAGATCCAGACTGGGATAAAAATCTCCACTTAGAAAGCTTAAAAAGATGATAGAGACAGTGCTTGTTTGCTTTGTAATAGCGAGATTCAAAGGGTAGGTTCCTACATCATATGAATGGGTCACCTGATGAAGTGGCATGTGCAAGAGACACTCCTTCAGAACGTAGCAATCATTTGGGTATATCAGGGGGTTAGGATTGTTGGTGTTCTGATTACCAAAGTTTAGGGTTATTGATAAAAGTACAGGAGCTTTGCAGAAAAGGTAGGATGTTCATTTCCTTCCATTCGGAACACATTGGACCACTTTGTTTCCATCCAAAACAGACAACATGGAAGCAGGATGGTGCTGTCCCCCCACCTGTGTCATGTCTTGCTCTGATAGCTAAGATTAAATAGCCCTTTTGAGTCTTGAGTTGATTTTCAGGGTCAGCTTATTACTTCCTTATATTATTACATGTATCTCTCATCTTTCCTCCAAGGGGTAGTGCACATGATTCTCCTATTCCTTTTCTCCCCACAACAACCCTGTGAGATAGGTTACGCTGAGAGAATGACTCAAGGTCACCTCATGAGCTTCATGACTGATTTGAGATTTAAACCCTGGTTTCCCAGGTCCTTCTCAACACACTAATCACTACACCACACTGTCTTATTGAAACTGTTGCTGGAATTCCTAAAGCATCCATGATCAAATTGTGTCAGCAAGGAAACCAAGGTAAGATACCCAAGTCAGGCTTTCTGGAGGTACTGTTTCTAGAAAAACGTGTTTTCTTTTGATAGTTCATGAGAGACATAACTCAAGATTGGATCCCAATCCTGTTTCCTAAAACTTCAGAGTACCATATTTTTTCATGTTCCAGGGAGACAGCGGTGGACCTTTGATGTGTTATTTTCGAAATGTTAGCAGGTATTATCTGATAGGAATCACCAGTTTTGGGCTTGGTTGTGGCCGACCAAGATATCCAGGAATCTATGCTCGTACAGTTAATTACAAAAATTGGATAGATGCGCATTTAATTGCTAAGACCACCAATGTGAGCATTCGATGGGTTCCAGTCTATTGGATTGTTGCATGGACAGTCTTATATATTCTATGAAGAGGCAAACTCTCTCTCCATTGTACTAGAGTGAACTTGGATTGCAAAATTGGAAGCAAAATTCTTCACTTTTATCAACAAATTTACCGTATTCCCCCTTATAAATTAAATATACGTATATATCAGATGTTATTTAAAATATATGTGTTTAATGGTCTGTAAATCACATTATGAAATCATACTCTTCAAAATAAAACATGAAAATTAACAGTTGAAGAAATAAGAACTGAATATGATCATTCAGTACACAATAAAAATGTTAGAAGAATTTTCAGAATTAAACCAATACTATCACAATATTTGGGACGCGGGTGGCGCTGTGGGTAAAAGCCTCAGCGCCTAGGGCTTGCCGATCGAAAGGTCAGCAGTTCGAATCCCCGCGGCGGGGTGCGCTCCCGTTGCTCAGTCCCAGCGCCTGCCAACCTAGCAGTTCGAAAGCTCTTCCGGGTGCAAGTAGATAAATAGGGACCGCTTACTAGCGGGAAGGTAAACGGCGTTTCCGTGTGCGGCTCTGGCTCGCCAGAGCAGCGATGTCACGCTGGCCACGTGACCCGGAAGTGTCTCAGGACAGCGCTGGCCCCCGGCCTCTTAAGTGAGATGGGCGCACAACCCTAGAGTCTGTCAAGACTGGCCCGTATGGGCAGGGGTACCTTTACCTTTACCTTTATCACAATATTTACATCTTATTTCTTTGCTAGAATATCAGAGTTTATGATAGATGGCAGATGTTGTCATATATACATAGCACTTTAAAATAAAACTTATGTTATACTTGTATACACATACTCCAGTGGAACACTTCCTCACTCAAATGAAGAACTCTTAAATATAAGCACCATATTTTCAAGGATCTATCCTGCAAACAAAATTCATTGTGTTGCATTCTTAAAGTAAATCCACAGTGTTTTGAAGAAGTAGGGCCTAAAGTATTGGACAGTTTTATCTTAATCATTGCTCCCTCTGCTGATTTGTTTATTGCAATGTAATCACACCATATTTCTTCTAAGCAGCTTTGTGTTAATCTTTTAAAAATGAAACACCAGCATCTGTTGTAGGGTGCAGTCTGTTAAATACTGACTAGGTGTTAGACTTTACACTAAAGGTGAACTTCTGAGTAAAAGTGCAGTGCCTTGTACTGAAAAAGTTTGGTAAGCTAGTATTTTTTAAAGTTGAACAAAGGCCTGTATCACTTTAAAACCTCAGAACTCTCCATATATTGAATTTGGATTCCTTATTACTTGAAAAAAGAGAGGAGCAGTCACCCATTTGTTTTAAAAATATACACAAATCATTGAACTAAGCAGTTGTGTGAAGATTGTTACCTATGTGCAGGGCCCAGTAGATTTAATTTCTGTGACAGAATGGTAGATGTAACATTGGACTTGCCATGAAGCTTCATTTTCTGCCAGGGATGAACGGGATCCTCAGATGGTCTGTCCCTTGTACTAGGCAGCACTACACAAATTATACCTCATGTTCAAGAGCAACCAAGCTGAACATGCCAAAGACGTAACAGCAAACCTCTAGAAACAGGAGAACATGGCCAAGCAAAAATAATTGTATTGTCCTGCCTAGTGGAGTGAGTGGAAGGGACAAACCATCCAAGGATTCCCTCCTCCATTGCAAGAAAAGATGTTCTCTTGTTAAATAATTATTTTAAAAGATACTGATGACCATAATAATCTGTGACCATCCACATAGCTGTTTTTATTTTTCTAATACTGCTACACATCAACATGATATCAACTAGATCAATGTGCTGCAACAGAACTAAAAAAAGTTCCTGCCCATCTTCCCTCCTCCTCCATTGTGGACCTCCTGCCCCATCCAAAGAATGTAAGACGGGTAATAGACAACTCATTAAGTAGCTTTATGAAAAGAAGTCTGAGCCAGAAACATGCCAGAATTTGGATGCATCCATCCTCCTGGTCAGCCTCATCCCAGTCCCCTGGCATGTGCTGGTCAATGTCCCTCCAACAGAAGAGAAAGCAAAGGGACAACTCAGCTATTTGTTTCTTTGATGGGACAATCCCATTAAGCTTTTGCCGTGCAGTTGCTTCCATACTGGCATTGCATATAGCACTGGGCGAAGCTCCACCCAAAGCTCAGCCCTCTGTGGTTCCTACATATAGTGAGCCCACCTCCTATTGCCCTCTGCAGTGTGGTGGGCATGCCACTGGTACTGAAGGAGCTTCGGCTGGGCAGTTTCCTTAATTCATAAATGAAATAAAATGGGGGAGGAACTGTGCCTGGCAGCTGCTTGGGAAAGGAGGAGCAGGAAGTGATTACTGTAAATCAAATCACTAGTAATGCTGTCTCTTGGTGCCTGACTCCTCGCTTTGCATTGCAAAAGGGGCCAGCTTCGATCCCAGGCACCTCCAACAATGGTCTGTCTCAGTTTAAGTGTTTCCTATAAGGCAGCCAAAACAGTACTTCCCATCCCTGTTGCCTTAAGCTCCCTGAGGTCCAGCTCCAAGGGCCTGCGAGAAGTGAGGTTACAGGGAACCAGGGAGAGGGCCTTCTCGGTAGTGGCGCCCGCCCTGTGGAATGCCCTCTCATCAGATGTCAAGGAATAAACTAACTTTCAGAAGACACCTGAAGGCAGCCCTGTTTAGGGAAGTTTTTAATGTTTGGTGTTTGTGCTTTTAATATTCTGTTGGGAGCTGCCCAGAATGGCTGGGGAAAGCCAACCAGATGGGCAGGGTATAAAAAATTTCTCTTTTATTGAATTTATATACCGCACTATACCCAGAGGTCTCAGGATGGTTCACATAAAAGATCACAATATATAAAATCAAAATAAGAACAATAACCCAATAACAACAACCCCCAAAAGAGCCACATTTTAAAAGTGTATAGGATTTCGATCAGGTCAACCAAAGGCCTGGTTAAAAAGAGATGTTTTTGCCTGGCGCCTAAAGGTGTATAATGTAGATGCCAGGTGAACTTCGCCGCATTTCACAGACTTAATAAATTAGCAGCAGCAGCAAAACCACACCCATCAAGAAAATGCGTAAGGGCCATCAGCCTGACATGAAGATGACAGTTTTATTTATCTATTTATTATATATATATATATATTATTACAAAGCACACCACCTTTCCTCCCAACTCGCTGTTAATACGCAAGTTCTGCACCTGAACCCTGCCAGCTAGTTATTATAAGAACTGCTGAAGGATTGGGGTCGGTATTTAAAATACTTTGTTCTTCCCCTGGTGCCCGGGTCCCGCGCCCCCTTTTCCCTGCGCAGGCTTCCGTCTCCCACAAAGACAACCTGCCGAAAACGCTTGAGCGTGAGGCCGCCGCGCGCCCCGTCACGTGACGCTCCCAGCGTCGCTCCGGCCGAGGAGCGGGAAAGGCGGCGGGTTGGCCGCCATTTTTTTTCTCCCTCGAGGGACGATGCGGCGTAGGCTTCGCCCCGCGCTCTCACTGGCTCTGCTCGTGCTGCTGTATGGACCACCGCCAGGAGCCCGACCCTCCGGGGTCCCTACACACGGTGAGCCCCCGTTCCCGCGAAGTGCGGCGCCGGCGTCGAAACCCTTTGTAGGCCGGGCGGGTTCCCTCACATTTGAGCGCTCGGGCGCCGTCACGGCAGAAGCTAGTAACTGCGCCTGCGCATGGAGTACGCGTCACCCTTTCTGAACTACGACTCCCGGCAGACTCCAGTACAAAGCAGGTGGCGTTTCGGGTGTCAGGTGTGAAGGCGCGATCCTTCACGTGGGAGTCACGTGTGCGAGATTCGGCGGGCAACGGATTTGCACGCGGTGTTTTGCATAGAGTTTGAGGCATGTGGAGCTGCTTGTGAGAGTCCGTTTCTAGGCAGAGGGACGGGGAATGGCCGTAGTTAAGGTTTAAGTCGCAGCGGAAAGATATTTTTGAAGCGCGTCTCTGCACGGACACGCTTTTTGCAAAGGGCATCATTAAGCCGTGTTACCTCCAACGTTGCCCTGTGTCGGCATTTGTCCTAATTTGCCCAAGTTCGAAGAGAAGCGCACGTCAGCGGCAGCACCCACTTTGAGGTGCTGTTTCAAGGGCGCTGCTTCCACAGCCTCTGGGCTTTTGTGCAAGGACAATGTGATGATCTTAACAATGTGATCATAACCCGGTTTATCTTGACGTTACCTTGATAGCAGGCATTTTTTGTGAAGGCAGGGGGGGGGGATGAAGTGTATGCCAATCAGTATGATGTAGCCTGTTAGCGTTGAACTGTGGCTGGGGAGGGGATGCGGGTGGCGCTGCGGGTTAAGCCACAGAGCCTAGGGCTTGCCGATCAGAAGGTCGGCGGTTCGAATTCCTGCGACGGGGTGAGCTTCCGTTGCTCGGTCCCTGCTCCTGCCAACCTAGCAGTTCGGAAGCACCTCAAAGTGCAAGTAGATAAATAGGTACTGCTCCGGTGGGAAGGTAAACGGTGTTTCTACACGCTGCTCTGGTTTGCCAGAAGCGGCTTAGTCATGCTGGCCACATGACCTGGAAGCTATACGCCTGCTCCCTCGGCCAATAAAGCGAGATGAGCGCCGCAACCCCAGTCGGTCAGGGGTCCCTTTACCTTTATGGCTGGGGAGACCTGAGTTCAAATAGACACCAAGAGAGCAATCTTGAGGAGTTAATGGAACTTGACTGACCAAGCTGAGTGAAGCTCCAAGTTCAGCATAGGCTGTCCAGCCTAAAATGGACAGCCTATGTTGAACTTGGAGCTTCACTCAGCTTGGTCAATCAAGTACCATTAACTCCTTATACTTAAGATATATAGCCCAACTCCTCGATGAATTGACCAGCTGACCTGGAGATCCACTGGATTTTAATTTGCACATCCTGTGGATCTTGGGTTTGGATTGTCCCCTAAGCCACCAAGCTCCCTCAGCATGACAATGCTATTATGTGGATAACATGAGGGAAGACTATGAATACTGCCCTGATACTGAATAAATTGTAGTATATAAACAAAGCACATGGATTGTGCTGTCTTTTGAACATTGGGATATCATCCTGCAAGTATGTGTCCTTTTATTCTGAGAATGAAAGAAGCTGTGAAATTGTTTTGGGTTCACTTCTGATAACAAGGGATGGTGAGTCAAAATGGGTTTGCTTCAGCTGTCCAGCAGGTGGCCTGTTTAGGGAATTGCTGTACTGAACCAATCAGTTTAAAGCAGTGGCTCTAAGCATTTTGCTGGATGCAGATTGTATTTTAAGGAACACTTAAATACATTGCATCTCACCAATATAACTGTGTTTTGTTTTTTAGGTTGTGGAACAAGGCCTCTTATAGATGAGAAAAAAACTGGGACTCAGATAGTAGGTGATAATGAGGCTCAGCTCGGGTCATGGCCATGGCTTGTTAGTCTTCAAATTTACCGTGTTTTTCAAGGCGGGTATCGTCATAGATGTTGTGGATCTTTAATTAGTAACGACTTAGTATTGACAGCAGCACACTGCATTAAAGAATGGGTGTATGTATCTTTATATTTTATCTTGTCCATTTTAGGTATAATGGGGAAAATGTGTGGGTTCTTTTTTTCCTCTTTTTTCTTGGTTGCTTGGCTATAGCCTGTCTTGATGTCAGTATTCTGTGCACATCGTTTTGGTAGGCTTCTCACAAATTTTAAATAATGTCATTTTATGAATACAGTTTCCGAAAACATACTCAGAGTATGCTATGTTTAAATCATGGGTCCAGTGCTTTAGAATTACTGCATATTGTATAAGAATGTATTTTACGCTATTTGAGATTTTTGTGTACTTTACAAATCACTTACGCTGCTGCCAGGGGTGTTGAGTGGCACCTTCAATTGTCCATGTTATCCAAGTGATGTGTCATCTCATGAAGACCTGTGTAATTGATCCAGGGCCATCAGTTCAACACTATCTCAAATAATACTCAATCTTTCTTACATTTTCCAAAAGGAATAAGGATGGCGGGTTACACTGGATCTGAAGCGTGTGATTTAGAACTTAAAGATGCACAAGTTCTGAGTGGTGATTCATACAACCATCTTGAAGAACTTCCATGGGGGGGGGGGCGTTTATTGATTTCACTGGACCTTATGAAGGTGTAGCTACACATGGTGATTCAACAACTTCATCACCAGTATGTGAGGTTACTAGGCAGCTTAGCTTATACATGGCGCTCTCAGCACTTACCCCATCCTGCCAGGTTCTTATACTGTGTTTCAAGGGTGATTCTGGACTTTGAGCAGCAGTTTCCCATACCAAATAACTGTTTATGAAGCTTCACTCACTCAATTTCAAAAAACGTACCATGCAGCATGAGACAACTGCTGCTCAATAAACACAAGGTTAAATTACCTGTTGAGCACATAGAACTTGCTCTGATTCTGATTATAGTTTCCATGAGGAATTACAATGGCACCTCGGTTCTCAAACGTAATCCGTTCTATAAGACCATTTGACTTCTGAAACATTTGATAACTGAGGTGCAAAGGGCTGACTGCAAGCTCAAAGAGGAAAATTGAATTGAAAAACATGCAGCAGAAGCTGTTTGACTTCCAAGGCGTGTTTGAAAACGGAAGCATTTACTTCTGGGTTTTCGGTGTTTGGGTTCTGAAAGGTTTGTCAACGGAGATGTTTGAGAACCGAGGTACCACTTTATTGCAGTCATAAAATCAATCCCCTGCTGAATGAAAAGCCAGTTATAAGATTGCTATTTGTATGGAATAGTTTGCCAAAATAATTTCAATGATTTCAAGTGGAATTATTACTGCATGTTTTGAGCTTTCTTACGGTGTTGCTCAAAGTTAAAATTCTCTTAAGCAGCAATTTTGTATTAACCATACAAGGGGTTTTTTTGTCCTAGGAACCCAGAGTACTGGAGAGTTGTGATTGGCTTGCGTCAGCTTTATAAACGTCATTCTCATACTATAAATCGCCGGGTGAGAGACATTGTGGTCCATTCTCATTTCAAAGTGAACAGCTATGACAATGACATTGCCTTATTTGAATTAATAAAGTTTGTCGAATACGATGACTATATTCAGCCCATCTGCTTACCTGACATTCCTCTTCTAGTGACAGACAAGAACCCATGTTATATAAGTGGATGGGGGGAAAAAGAGGAGAAAGGTAAATCTTTTGTTTCTGTCCCTTCTGAATAATCTAATATTAGTTTAGTGCAATGTTTCCCAAACTTGGGTCTCCAGCTGTTTTCGGACTTTAATTCCCATCATCCCTGACCACTGGTCTTGCTACCTAGGGATGATAGGAGTTGTAGTCCAAAAACAGCTGGAGATCCAAGCTTGGGAAACACTGTTTTAGTGAACACAGAAAGCTTTGTTGACATCAATACATTAAGATTTATATCACCTGAGGAAAACCTGGGTTTCGCTTGCTGCTGGCTGTCAGGATGATACATAAATTTATTGAAGTTCAGTTTTGTTCCTAGTCTCATTATTGACTGGGCAATGTTTTTTTGGGGGGGTGGAACCCCAAATCCTTAAAAAAGCCAAACAATTAAAAACTGGGGGCAGGGATTGAACATGTGGGCTCTGTGGCCCCACCTAAACTCAACCACCATCAGTCTGCAGTGTTGTCACTTTTTACATCCTGTACTCTTTCTGCCCTGAAGTGCATCCATTTGGAACTTAGTTTTGAAAGGAGGCATTCTCAGCTTACCTGCAGCCCAGCAGAGAACTTTGAAGTCTGGTTTCCATTTGGATTTTCACTGTGTCCATTTGTTAGTAGGTATCTTTTGCAGGTGCCAGAGGGTGCTTGCAGGTGCAATGGTGTCCCCCACAGATGTAGCCCACAGCCAGCAATTATACCACAAATTGTACTTGCTTACAACTTAACCTCCTCACACGCACACTTTTACATGATCTTTCATCCCAAATCCAGGTGGGGTGGGTGGAGTGCCTAGGAACAGATGCCCAAAATTGTCCTGGTCCTGTATTGCCTTATGAAACATCTCAGCCTTATTATACTGCTAGAAGTCTCCTCCTGTGGTTGACCCTTGTCTGTTTGTTGCTTCTATCAGTAGCTGGCAGGATGTGTTAAAGTGGGAAATTGTGGACTCCTGATTCAGTAGGGGCAAGAATGATTCCGTTGCTAATGACTTTGGAGGTGTAGCCCTGTTTCCGAGCACCATTTGTTGTTGTTGTTTAGTCGTTTAGTCGTGTCCGACTCTTCGTGACCCCATGGACCAGAGCACGCCAGGCACTCCTGTCTTCCACTGCCTCCCTCAGTTTGGTCAGACTCATGTTTGTATCTTCGAGAACAAACATGCACCATTACAAATGATTATTTTCTCTGATGTCTGAGAAGTATATCCAACCTTTCCTACGGCCTCTAGAATATCCTCAAAGGTACCATAGAATTGCACTGTATGAATTGTTATCCATATGCATGATGTGGTCTCGACTTATTGCACCATCTTTACCCCCAGGCACACAGGCTGCTCACTTAAAGATTGCATCATTGGAAAGATATAAAAGGAAAGTACCACAGTAAAGAAAAAGAAAAATACAGCAGCCTGCCAATCTCATGTACTGTTAACAAAATAAAAAATAAGAACCCCCACAGGTCACACGGTATGACAGTCACGCAAGGATAAATGAGATCACATCTACAGTTTCATGTTTTAGCTGACAAAATTTTTTGTTTCTCCAAAATGTTAGAAGGAATTCTAAGCCTTGTTTGATAACACATGTAGATTCTGCACAAGGGGATGAAGGTCTGCTGCATCAGGCTTATAACATTTGTACTGGACCCAGAAGGTTGAACACAAACATACTTCCAGTAATACTTTGTGTTTTCTTTACAGGTGATTTGAAATATATATTACAAGAATCTCAGGTAGACATTATACCACTGTACACCTGTGCCAGACATCCCTGGTATTCAGGGCATGGAATATCAAGGGATGTAATTTGTGCTGACTCTGCAAGCGGACACGAAAACACCTGTCAGGTAAAACAGAGATATTTCCACTGTAAACCACGCTGCCAACAGATGCTGTCATGTGGCTTGCTTAGACAAATTATATTGCCCATTGGGTGTCAAAGTAGCACCAAGTAAATTTACAAAATAAAAATTAAGATTACATTGTGTGATAAAATAGACAATAGAGACATCCATGTAAAATTCAAGTGAGATAATATTGTGTGTGAACATGCTCTCAGCACTGTAAAAATCTAGAACACACACAAGTTCTTGTCTGCAGATTCATAGACTTAAAAAGGGTGGGGAGGAGAGGGGACGTGAAGGGGGAAAGGGCAACTACTTTTTTGTACTATAGATATGGAAAGAAACTGATTCCAGTTGTGGTTGAAAACGTGTTACCATTAATACCAATTTTTCATCAAATATAACTATAGTAAGCTCACAACTTGTGCACATTCAGTTTTATGTATGTGGCAAAAAATAAAAAGGGGATGGGGTTCCAGGGAAAATGATTTTGGCCACCCCACCTGCCAATGAACCCAGCAGGTTTTGACTGGACGCAATTTTGGCTTTAAGCGTGATCCCTGGAATGTAAAACCCCCACATAAGTTGCAGACCTTCTTTAGCTGAGTGGTGAAAGGGTAAGATTAGAGGAGCCATGTTTTTTTCCTAATTTGAACACTTGTACCACTTTGCTTCCAAACAAAAAAGCAACGTGAAAGCAAAAAGGGGTGTTTGTCTTTCACATAATCTGTGCATCACCATCATCACACCACCATGTTATGAGAGCTAAGAATTGTTAGAACATAGTCTTAGGATTTTCGCTTGATTTTAAGTCTTAAGTTTATTGACCATGTAGCTGGACTTTTCAGAACACATGATAAGGTTTTGTAAGCAACTTATCTGCAGGTACTATAACCCAGCCAAAGTGAGATTACCCAATCAAAGATTTCAAGATTTACCTGTGTTTCCTAGAAAAATATTGTTTTCTTTTGACATGAAATGCACTGCTCAGACTGATTAGTTTACAGTCCCTCTGCATACTAAAACTTTAAAATACATAAGCAACACTAAAATTTTCATTTTATATTTTTCATGTTCCAGGGGGACAGTGGTGGACCTTTGATGTGCTATTTCCCAAATGTTTCCAAATATTATTTGATAGGAATCACCATCTCAAGCGTTAGCTGTGGCCAGCAAAAGTATCCAGGAATCTATCTTGCTACAAGTCATTTTTCAGACTGGATAGTTTCACATCTAAGTGGTAAAACCAGCAATGTGAACATTAAGTGTGTCCTGATCTTTTTGACTGTGAAGTGGGTAATCTTTCACCTTGTTCTATAAAAGGTAAAGTTCCTCAAAAACCCCACAACTGATTTTAATATATTTAACAATACCAACCCATTAGTCAGCTGTTGGTTTGTTATTTAAATTCAATCAACCCTAACTGAAAATATTTGTTCTTAATCTGAAAAGAAATAGTCATAAGGCAATTTAGTACCTATTTAGTTGACAGTAAGCTTCACTGAATTCAGTGGGAATCAGTTCTGACCAGATGTAGGATTGCACTATTATTAGTGCATTTAAAAATATATAATTTGTATAAGGATTATTATTATTTTGATAAAGCAAACAAGTTGATGTTTACCATTAGTACAATTAGTGATCTGTGAAATCTTACGTGACAATTTTATTTGCAAATAGCATGGTGGGGACCATTTTTCAGCAGGAGGTGGGGCTTCATTTTTAGAGGTAACCTTTGGGGAACTGCAGACCGGATGGGGCCAAAGCCAAATACACACACTGAGTGGCTGAGCTGGGGTTTCTTCATTTTCTTTCCCTCCACCTCCTCCCAATGGCTAGAGTCCTCACCATTTCATTTCACTTTGGAGCGAGCCATGGGAAAAGAGGAGGGATGACGTGAAGGAGGTTGGTGGAGCGAAGTGAACACATATGAATTATGGGATGGAACATTGCGATTGGGCAGACAAATCAGACTCTTGAGTAGAGGTTCCCTATCTTTGGCACGTAGGGCTCAGTAAATTAGAATCTGAGTAGAGGTTCCCCATCTGTAGCCCCCTTCCTTGCAAGTGATTCCCATTACACACCTCTCCCTAATTTCCAAGCGTCTTCCTATATTTACTGGGGAGAAATTCGCATACACCAAAGAGAAAATGCGCAGGGAAGCACAATTTCATAAAACGATAAAGGGAAAATGATGGCAAAGGGAAGTGGGGGATGAAAACGCGGTGAAATGTGATTTAAAAGCCTCGCGCGCGGCCGCTCCCTGCCAATCATGTGCCGTTTATGTGACGTCAGGGGGCGGGGAAAGAGCCGCCCGCCGTTTTTCTTGACGATGCCGCGGCGGCGGCGGCTCCTCTCTCGCCCCTCAGCCGCTTCCTTGGTGGCGGCGCTAGTGCTGCTGTGCGAGGCTCCGCCGGGGGTCCAGCCCTCTGTCATCCCTACGAAAGGTGGGCCCGGCTGCCCGGCTTTGGCGTCGAGGAAGCCGGCCTCGGGCAAGGTTCCCCTCACACCAGGGCGTCCCGAAGGCCGGCAGAGGCCGCTCTTGCTGCTGCGCTTGCGCGCCTCGTCCGGGGGGGGGCGGGAGGGCGAGGAGAAAGCTCTCCGAACTACGAGTCCCGGCAGCCACCGGGTCACGGCCGCAGAAGCCGACTTCTACGCTATATTTGAAAGCGGCGCGCGCTCCCTAGCGGGGACGCTGCTCACATTGCTGGGCCACGTGCATCTGCCGTGAGGGTTCGCTCGGGCGGAGGGCTGAGCAGCGAAGCCGCTGGTCCTTCCCTCCCCTCCGCTGGCAAACGGCGCTGGAAGCAGTTGGCGGAGTCGGAAAGCTCCTGGGCTCACGGCTGGTATCTGCGAACGAGATTGCATGGGTGCTGTTTTGGGGGGGTTAAATCTAGCGGGGAGGGTTCCGTTGTTGAAGTAGCCAGGCCAGCGGGTGGGTCAGGCCCGTGGCCTGGAGTGAGGAGGACAATGGGAGAGAGTGTATTGTGAGCTGGGCTAGAAGCAGGCGGAAAAGGGAGAGCCCCGCCTGGTTCCAGCTTGAATCCAAGGCTGGGGCTATGGGAGAAGAAAACCCTTCTGGGGTGTTAATGCTTGTGAGCCCCTCCATCTTGGGCCCAGGTTAAATACAATGGTACCTCGGGTTACGTATGCTTCAAGTTACATACGCTTCAGGTTACAGACTCCGCTAACCCAGAAATAGTGCTTCAGGTTAAGAACTTTGCTTCAGGATGAGAACAAAAATCGTGCTACGGCAGCAGCAGGAGGCCCCATTAGCTAAAGTGGTGCTTCAGGTTAAGAACAGTTTCAGGTTAAGAACGGACCTCCGGAACGAATTAAGTACTTAAGTTCTGTTAAGCTCCATTCTGGAGCCCCGTTCGCATCCAGAAGCAAACGGTAACTAGTGACGGCACGTCTGCGCGCACGCACATCACTTTTCGCCATTTCTGCGCATGCGCGTGATGGTATTTTGAGCGTATGTGCGAGCGGGGAAACCAGGAAGTAAGGCACTCTGTTACTTCCGGGTTGCCACGGAGCACAACTCGAACGCGTTCAACATGAAGCATATTCAACCCGAGGTATGACTGTATATGTATATTATACCCTCAAAAAGTGCTATTTTTCTAGGAAAGGGATTGCTGGAATTCACCCTTGTTCTCCTAATAATGGCAATGGCGCCCACCTGAGAGGTGCCTGAATTGAGTTCCAGGGAGTTCCAGCTGAGAAAAAAAGCCCCACCCTCAAGACACCACACAGGCTCCTGTATCCCTCATTCCAAGGAAACCGAACCCTGGGTAAAGAGAGGGAATCCTGCACAGCTCGAAAGTTGGGGTGGCAATTAATGCCCATTTTTCTCTGAGTCTCATTCCTTTTAGCATTACAGTTCAGTTCTACCTTCCTAATCTCTTTAACACTGAATTGCCTCAAATGGCATATTGTTAGCAATGAAAATAACATCCTTTTACTTTAATATCAAATAATGAAAACAAAACATGATCTACTTGCTTATTCATGTATTTCTGATGCTTGTTTACCAAATGTGTCTCATGCAGTAAACATACACAAACCATTTCTCTTTTAAAGACCTTATTGCTCTTTTTCTCTTAATTTTAGAAATTAAGTCCTCTAACAATGCAGGATAATGTACTTCATATCCTTTTTCAATTCCTTTAATTAAAAAAAATTTTAAAAAAAATTACGTTTCAGGGGGGGACATGGAAAAGTGCAACACAGTCTTCATTAAGTTATGCTATCTGTTTAATCTTACTTTGAATTTCACTCTTTATCTCCCAAAAATATAGTTTGACTTCTTTTTTCTGAATAAAATTAAGTAAAGTTTAGAACAGTCTTTGCCTGCTTATCTGAGTTCTTTACCAGCAGGAATATTGCTCCTTTGCCACTTTTTTATCTGAATGCCTCATTTTATGAGGCACTTAACAAGCATGACTTTTCACCATTTTAACTGTGTTTTGTTTCTAGCTTGTGGAACAAGGCCTATTGTGGATGAGATACCAGCAGGGTCTCGGATTGTAGGTGGACATGATGCTCAACTTGGAGCATGGCCTTGGCAAGTCAGTCTTCAAGTTTTCCACTTTGGCATAGGATATCAGCACATGTGTGGTGGATCTTTAATTAACCACAACTCAGTGCTGACAGCAGCACACTGCATTAAAGAGTGGACGTATGTATCCTTTGATTCTGTAAGTTTTCCTATATATTTTAGGTGAAAGAAAAATATGCAAATACATTAGCTGAACTTGAAAAAATCTGTAAGACAATTAAATATTTGTACATTATTTGTGCATCCATCTTGTCTCCCTGAACTGGTTTGTCAGACTAGACTGCAAAGGTACTGCTTAGAAAGTTATGGCGTGCGTTTGTTGCATCTGCTGCAGTTTGGGGAAAAATACCAACCTGTTCATGATGATAAGATGCTTTATTATTTGTCCTTTTAAATTTTGCTTTGCAATATGGATCACGCTCACCCTCATAAAAATTCTGAATAGTCAGCTTAGTCTAAAACAAAATAACTTGCCCTGGCTGTATAAATATATAGCAGAAAAGAGGATGATTCCACATTTTCCTGATAATCTTTTTTTATTCAGTGAACTTCACTGGTTCTCAGTGCTCTTAACATTGCACTCCCGTTTTTTTATTTTGCTCACATTGTTTTGTAGCAAGGGTCACAAAACTTTCACGTAGGTCCACTTCAAGCATTCATAATTTGACTGAAGTAAGCTTGGGAAGGGGAAGAGCGTGCATTAGCATTTTTCACACAAGTATAAGACGCTTCCTCATGACAGTTGCCCTGGAACTCATAGAGGGTGGTAGGTTTATTTTGGGGCTGGGGACAGACAGCTAGCAGGCTCTCCCCTTCCATCAGCAAGAGTTGCATTCAAGTACATTAATAATGATTTTAAAGTAAATAATAGGTGTAGTGATGGTAAAGCTGGCACTCTAACCCACTGCGCCTGCTGCAGTCCAAATCTAGATTGAGTGCCACCATGCCTGCTATTTACATGGATTTAAAAAACCTCCCATTCATGCCAATGGAAGCTATTCTAATAATATTGGCTATGGTTTCTAGTAAGCAGCTTGGAATAGCCTTACCCATATGGATTCACAAGCCACTTGCATAGCTTCTCTCACTTTCAATAGGTCAGCAGTTTAGGCTTGGACAGCTGCTGCTCAAGAAACTGCTGTGGGAACACACACTTATTCATGCCATTCTTTGGCTATGGACTTTATCTTCCGAATTGCTGTGATTATTTTAGTTTTCAAAAAGAACAGCTTTCGATGATTCTGAGTAGAATTTGCATAGGCAGTAATTGGCATGAGAAAACCAGTCTTCTGCTGAATGGCTCAGATAGGAAAAGTATTTGCCCTCATTATTAAGCACAGCAATTTTGTCAGCCGGATAGTTCAGTTGGTTAGAACATGGTGCTGATAACACAAAGGTTGCAGGTTTGATCCCCGTAAGGGACAGCTTTATATTCCTGCATTGCAGAAGTTTGGACTAGATCTTCAGGGTCCCTTCCAACTCCATGATTCTATTGTACTGTATCATTGTAAGATTCCAAGTTTGCTTGAGGACAATTCTTGAATGTAATTGACTTATTACTGTTGCACACGTTACGAATTTGTTTTAAGAAGTATTACTCTTATCTGGGCATAATATATGTGTTACTTGTTACATTTATGTTATCATTTGGAGCAATCTCAGCCATTCTCTCATCGTCTGATCAGAGTCTGGTTGCATGCTTAATGGTTTTGCAGGGGATGTGAAGGAAGAGACAACTCTCAAGTCTCAGTCTGTAAAGTTGCAATTTTATAGTGATCATTGACTTCACAAAGGATTTTATTCTAGGTTCCCCGAGTTTTGGAAGGCTGTGTTGGGACTGCATCATCTTTATAGGTACCAGCCTTATACTGTGAAGAGCCGGATCAGGGCTATCATTATGCACTCCGATTTCCAGGAGAAAACCTTTGAAAATGATCTTGCCTTGTTTAAATTAATGGACTCTATCAGATTCAATGATTATATTCAGCCCATCTGCTTACCTGAGGCTCCGCTTCTTATGACCAATGAGACTTCATGTTATATAAGTGGTTGGGGGAAAACGCTGGAGAGAGGTAAATCTATACTTTTCTTTTGTTGTTGTTGCCAGCAGTGAGAAAATAAATTTGGATTTAGCCTGCATGTTCTTTATTTGCAGTGGACGGAAGTGATCTAGGAAAGGGTTGCTTTGAAGGTAGAGCTATGCAAATTCTTGGCCCCTTCGGTGAGAGGTCCTTACATAGCTTTAGGAGGTAATGGAGCTAAATAAAAACAGGATTTACTGTACAATCCAAAAACCCATTGAAGTGGGAATATTGCCCTCCTCTGCCGAAAACATACGCAGAAGATGGAAGGTTATCCCCAGACTCTGTTGATATTGAATTGCTACTTCTGGGAGTCAAAGATACTGCTGCCGCTTCACTACAACAGCAAGACAACTTTTGGGTGTTCAGTATATGTATCTCTACCCAGTGAAGAGAATAAACATTCACAGCAAGTCCAGTGTTCCTACTTTCTTTAGTAAGAATTTTGGATGGATGCTATCCAGCCATGAGACTGAAAACAACGTCACCCCTACTGAGGTACTTTTCTGTGAACAATTGTACAGAGCACTGCTTGTTAGATCCCCCACGTACTGAACTGATATTTTCAGTTTAAAGCACTGAACAACAGAAGAGATGTCCCAAATGGGGAGATATCTTGGCAAAGTTGTGCTTCATGCACTAGGCAGATAATATGCGTTTACGAACCTTGGCAAAATGTCATTGAAACTTTTTCTGGTAGTGGAACAAAACGAACAACCCCACTTGCTCAGCAAATGTGCCACAAATAGGAACATAGAAAATTGCATTGTGCTAGGTCAAACTATTTGTTTCCCATGTCCATTATTGCCTTCTCTGACTGGCAAAAACTCTGCCGGTTGCCTGGCAAAGATCTTTCTTGAATCACCTGCCTTTGGCTAGAGGTGCCAGGAATTGAACATAGGATCTTGTGCAGGCGCTACCACTGAGCTGCAGCTCCACCTCTGCCTTATCTTTTCCTTTGTGGTGTTTAAGTTTATAATGAAAAGGAAGTAACACTTTCTCTTGGCTACTGTGGAAGCAACACACAATGGATATTCTTGCACAGATAAGCAATGTCTCCAGTTATAACTAGCTAAAATAAACCTTCAAAACTAACACTTTCATGGGTTGGTGGTCTCAAAAGACTTCTTTTAGGAACCCTGAGAACCTAATGCAGATTTCATAGGTGATGATATTCTTATAGTTGGAGAAACTTCCATAAGGTACTTCAACTAAAGATAACCAGAGATTATCTACTACCTAGCACAGGATCTGGGACTCTGCATTTGAAGGTGCTTGGATAAATACCATGCTCTAGTTTTCCCTCTAATTGTTGGAGAGTTGGCCCTGGTGTCAGCCAAAATGAAATGTTTCCTGTTTGGGATTTATTTATTTATTGCCAGAGCCTGCCCCTGAGCCCCTTTCACCCCTTTTTGCAGCCAGCTCTGTTTCTCTGCTCTCAGCAGACATGTGGTAGAAGTTTACTTTGTCGGAGACAGAGAAACTTGTCAGGTGGATGAATGTTGCAGCCAGTTGTCAGTACAACAAAATCATTCACAATGCTGTAAAAGCCTTATCACCTTGTGAACCAGGAAATTATTTGCATGGTCTTACCTTCAAAGCTGGTGGGAAGAGTAAACCTACTTCAGAATAACCACTTCTAGTTGTGGTCAAGTAAGTTTAGTGATTTCAGGTAAGTTTCTTTGCTGTAAGTGCATTTGGGGCTATTTCGAACATTGCTCAGAGGATGTGCTAGAGAATGGCAAGCTAATCAGTTCTCTGCTTGGCATACTTGGGTGATACAACAATTTGTCACATTCATACATTATGTTTAAACATATACTAAAACTTCATAGGTACAGTCTTAACCACTGCAATGTGTGAAATAGTTCTTCCTTTCCCTGTGACCTGTTTGTAGCAAACAGTCCCACAAGTCCGCTTTTGTCTGTCTGCAATAACGATAATACGGGACGCAGGTGGCGCTGTGGGTAAAAGTCTCAGCGCCTAGGGCTTGCCGATCGAAAGGTTGGCGGTTCGAATCCCCGCGGCGGGGTGCGCTCCCGTTGCTCGGTCCCAGCGCCTGCCAACCTAGCAGTTCGAAAGCACTCCCGGGTGCAAGTAGATAAATAGGGACCGCTTACTAGCGGGAAGGTAAACAGTGTTTCCGTGTGCGGCTCTGGCTCGCCAGAGCAGCTGGCCACGTGACCCGGAAGTGTCTCCGGACAGCGCTGGCCCCCGGCCTCTTGAGTGAGATGGGCGCACAACCCGAGTCTCAAGACTGGCCCGTACGGGCAGGGGTACCTTTACCTTTAACGATGTAAAGTTCAACTTTACTCATCATGTAAATAGAATGAGCAAACTGGGAGGATCCTGACAACTTAATGCAGTGCTGGGATTAGTTCTGGTGATGGTAATATTCATCCAGTCACACTGACTACCCACTTTGAAGATTGTGCTGCTGGAAAGATGAAAGGAGAATAGGGCACACTCAAGGATTAAGGATAGTATATTCAAAGCTTCGTATGCACCCGGGGTCTGTGTTAGCTGCTGAACAGTATTCGTTACAACCTCAAGGTGTTGGAAGGGTTCTTAAGCTTCATTTTGGCAACAATTCTAGATTATCTTAGTTCTGCACAGGAGATTTAGAAAATCTAGTGCCCAGTGCACTAGATTTAGGAAAACTACTGGCCCAAGAGTTGCCAATATATAAAGCCCTTTTGTGTATTGCTGTGTATATCAGGCAATATTAAACAAAAATAAGCATACTTCCAGCTTTGTCTTGTTTTCCTTACAGGTGGAAAAAGACGTGTATTACAAGAAGCCGAAGTAGACATTATTCCAATGCAGCTCTGCAATAGGAATGACTGGTATGGAGGGGCACTCAAAAAAGAAGACATGCTTTGTGCTGGCTCTGAAAGTGGAGGTGTTGACACTTGTCAGGTAAAGATGTCAGAATGTGTATATCATTTTAAGACATGACGTATCACTGTATACTGTGGGTGTTAGGTCAAGTTATTGTTTTGTCCCTTAATAAATAGCAGTAACACTAAAGCAGTTAGGAAACCCAAGACATTCCTTGAATTCTGAGTTGGAATTCTATTCCTCTGTCTGTTTCATGATTATATAAAACCTCATAAGGAATACGCAGAATGTAATCGAAGCATAGAAATTGGTATATGGTACTTCATGTGATAAAATAAGACATTAAGGGTGACACTGTAAACGCCAAGCAATACCTTAATTTCATACTCTTACTAGTTTTTTTATTAAAGAATTTTCATACTTAGCAAGGGTGCATACATCTGTTTTCAATTCAGAGCCCTTTCTCACTTTCGGTGTCAGAAGGGAGGTAGTGATTTTTCATTCGTTTGCTTAGTGTATGTGCAGTGTGTTTGTGCCAGTGTTGCAAGAATAGGTTTTTTGATTATGTGTTTGTTTTTGTTGACGGTGTGAGAGGTTTGAGAGCCCAGAGCATGGTTAGTTGCATTTAGTTGATTGCAGTGAGTTTTGTTTGTGTGTGAGGGGTGTGTGTGTTGGCTACATATGTAATAGAGTGGGGCAAAGACATCCTCTCTTGTTTGCCCCTATTAGTTTCAGTTTGCTGCTTAGCTTTTCTAGTAGGGCTGTTTCCCAATATAGTTTGGTACCAGTGGTCCATGTTTACTCCTGACAGGTCCTGCCAATGTCTGGTTATGGCTCTCCTATCTGCTGAGAGTAAGTGGCTTATGAGTTCTTTGTAGTGTGAGTTGTTGTCTTGGAAAATATTCAATAGGGCTAGTTTTGGAGTGGCCTCTAATACCTGTTTTATTAGTATGCATATTTCTTGTAGGACTGATGTCCAAAAGGGCTGGATTTGGGGGCAGTTTTAATCTGAAATCTTAGGCACAGTACTGCGCTTAGAGCTCAGAAACTGCTTGCACTAATGAAATTCCTTGTCGCAAAACGCACTTAGAAAAATGAGTTTCGAATGCTGTCTAAAATTAAGGCTCAGTGGTGGTGAAATAGAATATTTATTTTCAATTGGATCATTTGCACCACTTTTGACCGTTCATGAGACGTAACACCGATTGAGGCACAATTTTCTGCAGCTTAAAGCTTAACAATAACAAAAGAAACACTCATATCCTCATCTTTATTTTTCATGTTCCAGGGAGACAGTGGTGGACCACTTATGTGCTATTTCCCAGATGCCACCAAATATTACCTGATAGGAGTCACAAGCTTTGGCCTTGGCTGTGGCCGACCAACATTTCCAGGAGTCTATATACGTACAGCTCGTTTCAGGAGCTGGATACAATCGCAAGCTATTTTATTTGACAGAACCATCACTATGACCATTCCATGTATTCTCATCTTTTTAACTGTGGGATGGGTAATCATCCACAGTGTTCTATAAAGAAGCAAATTATCTTATTGTTCAGGAATGATGTCCGATTCCTTTTGAAATTTACTGGGTTATATTCAGTTGTGTTCCTCTACAAATGGAATAATCTAGCACAGACTTCCATGAGCAGAAGGGTGGAGGGAGGTGATTTCCACTGACTTCCCCTTCCTTTTGTAACACCACAGGGGAGGAGGGGGAGAGCTTTGGAGGAACACAGGGAGGGTGGTGTGAGGAAGAGAATATGCAAAAGTCACCTCTGCCCTGCCCACCCCCAGTTTCTGTTCAAATAACCTTGTGTCAGCAGTGTGGAACAGACAGAGATGGGTGACACCCTCCCTTCTTCCATGTTGTAAAAAATAATAATATTAGGGGAATTTATTATTTTTAAACAGGCAATATGCTCCGTAAATCAGTTACTTACTTCCCCCTCCCCAATGGATTCAAACACACATTTAACCCTTTATTCTGCATCCTTGGCTATAGAAACTGTACACGACGGATGCTAAATGTTGCCATAGCACTTTAAAAATAAAACACAAATTGCAGTTAAGTGCACACACCTTGTTTGAAGTTTAGTTGCAACAAGTCTTCAGTCCTCCTTTCCCATCTTCTTGCATTTTTTACATGATTTTTGAGATACAGTATGCTTTGCTCACTAGTAGCCGTGAGCTTTGCTACAACTAGTTCCATAGTATCCAATGGCTTTCAGTATTAGAAAACTTGATCTTGGCTCCCTCTGCAGGTCTTCCTTGAACAAAGTAAACAGCATACTTTCTTTCTCCTGTGTAAATCTACAGATTACACAGTACTAAAAACAACAAACCACACACCTATCAAAGGCTAAAACAAAGTATGTGTTTATAAGAATAAACAAATTCAGATACTTTTGTACGAATAAGATCAGCACCAGACTTTCCCAGAAGCTGAATTAACAAGGCAGTTTAAAACAGCATTTCAGGGTCTTTATTACTGAAGTCAAGAGGTACAGCCACCTATGTTTTTTTAAAAAAATATTTACAAATATTTTAAGCAAAGCTGCTAAGTTTGAGGATAGTTAGGATCATCAATAACTGTTATATTGCCTGTGCTCACAACCCAGGTTTATAATGACCAGACGATAGGTTGGCAAATAGCACGAATATGCCTCTTTAAATAATGACTGAAAATGAAATTGATGACTGTGTACTTCTGTGATGTTATACATGGTTATGGTTCCTGTTTCAAAATAATAGTGCACATTCACAGGTTATCAACCTGCATTTTGCTCTTAAATCAAACACCACGACCTCCCCTGTTCTTGCTCTGAAATAATAGTAATAATAATAATCAAATGCTCTTTTAATAACATTTGAACAGCAAAATATTTTGTTACTATTAAATATACATATACTTGAGATGTATGGGAAAACTTGCAGATCACACTTTTGTCATAGAAGCAAAATATAATTTAGTATCATGCTAAAAATGATGCAGCACACCTGAAAGTTTGAATCCTCTGAAACTCACACACAAGAAATTAATAAGTGTACAACAAATAGCTAGAAGATTCCAGGCCAGGTTGTGAAATACTTACACCACACAGTACTTTTTGTTGGTTGCAATCCAGAGGAAGGCACTGACCAGTTCTCATCTGCCTCCACACAAAACATATAACCCACAAAAATAGATTGACATACAGAATGGAGGTTATGCTGGAAAGCAAAGCTAGAAGCCTATCTGCATGGGCAAAAGCCTATAGAGACTTTCTGGGTTATGCATGAATATTCCATATTCCACCTTCCTTTCACTTAGGGCCAATTTCCTTATTTGATTTAATATCCAAATTCAACTTTTGTTTTTTTTAAAGGACAATAGGAGTTTCTTTTTTTTAGAGGGGGTGGGTAAAATCAGGGTCTACTATAGTTCCACAGTTTTTCCCCTTTTCAGCAATAAAGGTGGTGATGAGAAATTTCACAAATGGACTCCTGTTAGAATAAGATTGCTGAGTTCTGGTTCTAAATGAGTCTTGAATCTCGGCATTCTGTTGTGCTGCTACAACTGCCTTACAGTGCAGGCTGCTGAGCTTTAAAAGTACTAGGTGAAATGGAAGGTGCTTGCCTAGTTCTGAGCCTTAGTAGTAAGGGTCTATATTTACCTCTCCCTCCCTGTGGTGTATTAGAGAGGTTGCGGGGGATAATGGAAACCAGATGTGCTGCTCAGGGTGTGCGTTTCCAGTATCACTCCTCCTTCCAGGATACTTTAAGCCATAAGCATTCCTCATTATATCTATTAATTTAGAACAGCATATTGGGTTCAGGGATTAGAAAATAAAGTTGGGGGTTCTTTGCCTCCTCCAAGGCTTATATTGTGAGCCTTAGTCATAATTCCCCTGTGCCTACATACAAAGAAAAGGCTCATTATTTTGTAGTTCTCAGAGAGCAAGTGTTATTCTCAATTTTTGAAGGGGGAAGAGTTCTAAAAATTTTTATGAGCAAATACTTTTCTGCATGTCTGGGAAGTCCCCAGAGCCACCAAGTATTGGGGGGGAAATGAGTTAATGGGACAGTGTGTGGAATGCTGTGCCATGATGGCAATAGATATATATATATATATATATATTTCTCTAATGCATTTAGTGGCAACATTTCAAAGGAATGAAATGAATTGAAATGAATCAAATTGAATTGGAATGAATCAACAACATTAACTAGGGTAAGGCTACATTGCTTGTGTTAATTAGTTCATTGTGTGCTCAAGAACCCAACTGATGTCAAAAGATACTTGAACATCCCTTGAGAACAAGAACCAAAATGACACTATTATTATCCCTGACAGCATCTTTAAAGTGAATTTATAAACGAATGTATCTTCTGTGAATACTAAACTATTTTCTCAAAAATATTTCCAGCAATTTTTGTTAAATTAAATTTGCCTAATGAAATATATAGAAATAGGTTCTAGTTTTCTTGAGCATCTCATAAAAATATAGAATTGATAATCTAAGAGGGAAAATATCTCTGTTTATTGAAACTTTATAAAAATTTAAAATATCCATATAAACTCAATTATAGAATTTGCAAAGGTAACACTTCAACTACAAAAATATACCTGGTGTTTATGTCAACTGGATTACTTATAAAATTGGAATTGCTTTAAGAAGTCACTGTCAGGTTTACAAATTCAGTTTTGTAATTGAGTGCTTTAACATATATAAACATACTAGATTTTACCTTTGGTATATAATTTTAGCTTCTTTGTGCTTTGAACTGAGACAAAGCTAGGGAATTTGGAGTTTAATGCTTCTGTACAAGCAAAAGAAGTATATTCAAACAGAATATGGGATGCCTGTTCACTTGAAAGAATCATTTCTGTTTATCTCAAGATGTTGTTTTTTTCTACCCAGTGACATACACACACAAAAGCCCTTTGAAAATATTTTCTGCAACATTTGTTCTCTTGCATTAAACATTTCAGAGCATCTGTATAAGCAATGATATGTGGGTCTGGTTTTCACGGCACAATAAGCCAATCTTTCATTATGAATACCACTCTGCAGGTTTAGACGATATGACAAGCCGTTCGATGGCTTATTTGACCTGCCTGAGCTCCATACAATGGGAAGAAGCCACATGGGGACCTGCCTGGTGTGGAGAGGGGTTCTTCATGATGAAAACATCATTTAAGATGAACACTGGCCTATTGTGACATGCAAACGAGGCCATGATATATGTTATCCACTCCTCAAGGAGTCTTATGACCATATCCTAAGACAGAACACCCTTCTTTTAAACAAGTCGCCTGCCTGCCAAAACCAAATATAATTTCTAGCAAAGTAGTGTGTATCTTCTCAACACAAAGATTAGAAATGACAATTTGAAGCAAAATGTATTGTACGTACAATTAACTGTGACAGCTTTCTTAGGATTCTTCTCCCTGTTGGTGGGCTGCAATAGGTTTTGACCCATATGTTGGAATAAAAATTGTGGCAGGTCTCCACCCAACTGGGAACCCTGGAAGCGTAGGCCTTCCAATCACAGGTGAGTGCTGCACACTCTGGCACATATGGATCCTTACTATAGTTGTGCATTTCAACACATGGACTGGAGCGAGGGCAGAACCTACTGCTACCTGTGCATTCACTATGTGGTGAAGATCCTTAGCCTGTGAAGGGAGCAGAAAAAAATAATTATCAGATTTAATAAATTGAACCTATGCTAGCTATATGTTGACAGGCATTAACACCTGAAAGCAAAAGATTCAGCTCTTCTGCATAATGGCAGAATGCCATAGGCATTAAAAAAATTCAGCTGTAGCACAAGAAATTCAAACATCTTGATTGACAGAATGTACATGTCCCACTTATCCTGATTGAAATGAAGATTCCAGTTGTGCCAGCAGAACTCTTCATGAGTGCTTCCTTTTTGTACTCTGCCATCAAAGGTTCTAAATAGAATCTCAAGTCTTTGTGGAATTTGGGTAGAAGAGATTCATTTTTGACCTTTAATTAAAAAAAATTAATATAAAAAATCCTTCTGAAATTCTTATGTTCACAAAAAGGTGGGGTTTTTTTCTCCTTTTACACATTTTTATGGCAGTAAAGATCTTTCAAAGTTTTTAGTTCTTCAATTAGAGTTTTGTTCTGGTTTTCAAGAACAGCAACTCGATTTTCAAGACATTTCACATATTCTTTCTTCTTTCTACGGCATTCTCGAGCTGCTTCTCTGAAATTCCAAAGCAAAGTTTGTTAATTATTACATAGAAGTCAAACTAGTTTGGAATTACAAGCATTCTGCTTTTGCTTCATAGCTGATGTTCATCTAAAGAGGCTTGCCTTTCTCATTTCACGGACTGTGAAAAGTAAAACAAAGCCGCTTTCTCTGAAAAAATACTGATGTATCTACTTGACATAAAAATATTTAAAGAGCTGCAAGGATTAGCTCTGCAAGGATTAGCTCTTTGCAAGCTTGCTATTTTTGCCTGAAGAGTTCAAATTATTTATCCTATCAGTGATCTAACTTTTTTTAAAAAAAATAGTCTGGAAATCTGTAAGATA